GCAATGAATCACACTTAAGCCCTAATAGGATCAAGTTTGTCACTGAGTGAGAGTGATGAAACTACACCCATGGAAAGCAGACTATTACTTTAGTGTCACTGCTCATTCAAAATACTATTTGTGGACTAGGTTTTTTAAAGATAATTTCTATCATATGACCCTTTAGCACTCCTAATGTAAGTACACTCTTTTTTATATTTTATAGATATGGTTGTAGAAATGAACCAAGAAGCAATGAAGTAGGCTGTCATTACAGAGCTGGCAGTTCTACTTAATACCTAGATGCTCCTAGATAGGTGCTTCCCCGGCTCATTGCTTTACACCCCTCCACTTCCCTGAAGCTTTCTCTTAATCTCCACCTAAGCCAGCATGAAATGCCAACTCCATCCCCAGGCAGTCTCTTGACTGATGATTTGCCAAGTTGAGTGTTTTGGCCTTAGCAGCAGATGCTCTGATTATCTCCACTAATGTAAACAGACCGACAGCCATCTATCATTCAACAACTTCAAGCTGTAGGCCAGCCGTCTTCACAAGACTGACTCCATTAAGTAATGAGATGTACATGACTTGGCTTGTTTAATTGACCAAGCAATAATGTAAAGCCACCTTTGTTCAGCTGACTTGATAATCAGCCCTGAAGCTTTCAGATTACCAACCTAAAAGGGAGAATGAAGTATAAACTCTTTAAAGTTGGTTGGGAAATTTTTATTTGGATTTAGGCGTTTTACTTAACTCACTGAAGGTGGCCCTTGAAGAGATGTATTTCTATATACTTTGGATGGCCTTTACTACTTGCCAAGTGGTACGTAACTTTTTGAAATACAACTGACTCACATATTCTATATATTCTATTACGTTTTGTCTTTGAACTGGAGGAACATATCTAACCCACCAACACTCATTAATGTCACATGTCATATTGACCTGCGACAGTCCAGAATCTGTTTCGCTGGTGAAATCATAAAAGGCACATATTCTAAGCTTCTGCAATTGATTCTGTTCTTCAACAGAATCACTTTATTTCTGGATTTACTTAGCTTCCAACTGATTGAAGGCATGACTGATACTGAGCTAAAATGTTATTTGGAAGACTCATTTAAAAGTAACAGAAACAACTCTGGGTAGTTCTTTCATATAAATAAGCATGGCTCTTAAGACTTAATGGGAAAACAACTGCATGGCTTCCAGTGGACTGAAACAGTGCTTTGTATGTTGTATGTGTGAAAACTGCTGACAGTAGCATTTTATTCATTCATGATATAACAATCGGGGGTGGGAGAAATGAAGTAAGTAGGACCTTTAGTTAAACCATACTTTCCCTAACAAGGTTCCAGTCAGATTTGTGTGGACTTTCTAAGCACAAGATGCCCTGAGAGACCACCTTTCTGGCAGGTAGGCTGCTGTGGTATCCTCACACCCTCGTTTAACAGGTGGAATGTGACTCTAAACAAAGTCAAAGTTCTTCTAGGATGTTGCTTCTTTTTGAGATGGGCCTATGTACCCCAGGATGGTCTGGAACTCACCATCTTCCTGCCTCGGCCTCCCGAGTGTGGTGTGGCACTAGATAGTCCCAGATATTTTATTTTTCTTTGTTTTGTTTTTTAATTTTTAAATTTAAATTAGAAACAAGGTTGCTTCACATGTCAATTCCAGGTCCCTCTCCCTCCCCTCCTCCCCAGCCACCCACCAACCCCTCCAATATCCCCTCGTTTTGTTTGTTTTTTAATGTATGTTTCTAAACACATGCAAACCCTCCTACAACTCAGGTTTTAATGGCACATTAAATCCCAAATAACCCTGGCTTTCACTATTCCTCCTTCATGAGATGTAATTACTCACTTCCACCCAGGAAGTCTCTCCCAAATCAAGCTCAGAGCTGCTCTGGGAGGTTTCCTTGGCATATTCTTCTTTTTGTTTGTTGGACTGTTAAGTATGGAAACATTTTTATTCACCTCTGAATTAGCATAGAGCATAAACGAAGATTCTGGAAAGAAAATATGCCCAACTCTGCTGAGAAGATTGTGATGGTCTTGTGGCATCCCTCTTGTGAGGGCCATAAAGACAAAGTGTAGACAAACCACATCCGTTTTACTATTTGTGGAAGGCAGATTAAAAAGCACTGCATCTACCACAATGGCACTGCCCATTACTGAGGAGAGGTATGCGTATGATGGGGAAAGATGGAGAGGGAAGGGTGGGTGGTCAACCCTCGATGACTGCTCACCGCCCCCTCCTCCATAGTGAAATGCACAACTTAAGAATGCTTCCAGAATGGACATTTGGATGGCATATGGAGGCAGAGAGAAGGTTCGCAAAGGAAAGAGAGGAGAGAGACAGAGGGGGGAGAAACAAAGAGAAAAGAGAATTTAATTATTTGTAGGCATAATTCTCAAACATTAAAGGTGACTAAATGTATATCTTGCCATTTTCCCCCCCTCACACTCCTGTTAACAAACATGAAAGCAGACTTAAAGAAAATTGGCACCATTTTATAATTCACTTACATATTCCTACCTTTCCAAAGCCCTAAATAAATATTTGAACTATAATCTCCAATAAAGTCCCTCTGTATTTGTTGTCAGTCTCAATCACCTTTTGCTTGTCTGCAGAGCGCCTCTAACTCTTAGATGTTGCACCTGGAGATTCTTGCTTACTTTATGATGTGGGTTTATGTGCCCTTTCATTGAAAGCAAACCGCCCTAGATAATCCAGTGAGAAAAATGTTACAAGGTCCACTTTCCGTTAAAAGACAAATAAAAATATTAAGCTGTTCTCCAAAATGAGGAAAAACACGTAAAAATTCAAAGTAATATACTACTGGATTTCCTCTCTCACAGATAAAGTCCCACATCATAAAATGCCTCTTCTGTGTCTCTCTCTGGCAAGGCAGAGGGTGCAGGAGAATACAGTTCTTGCTGATTCTCTCTCCTCTCTCCCCCGGCTCAAGATTTGATCATAGAGCATGTTATCCATTCCAATTTTAACCTAAATTTTTACTTAGGTATTGCTGAAAGCATTTAATTTTTAAAAAGTAATGAATATTGAAGGAATAGGAACCTTGTCCTTAAGGAATGCTTAATATTTTTATGCAAATGCTAATGTGAGTTTGTGAATGACAGGAAAAGGCCAACATAAGAGATGATACTATTAGTAGAGACGGGGAGCACACACCTGTAATCGCTTGGAAGCAGTGGTGGGAGCATCGCCACAGTGTGAGGCCAGCCTGGGCTGCACAGTGAGACTGTGTCTTTAAAACCACAGAGGAAAACAGACAGTATTAGATACCTTTATGGTTTAGCAATTTGAAAACTGACAAAATAAAATTTAAAAAAAAAGAACCATATGTTCCTATATGGCATGTGAGTGGTAAACCCTGAGATACCACTCACATGTACATCCTTCAAGGATGGTATCCAGAATTTCATGCATAGCATCAAGTAGAGCTCTGAATGCAACAATTCAAGACATGTGTGTGTATATGCAGAAAATAGCTACAAACAAAACAAAACAAAACCACACACACACACACATACACACACACACACACACACACAAAACTAGAACTAGAGGATGGATGAGCAATTAAGAGCCCTGGCTATTCCTAAAGGGTACCTGAATTTTGGTTTCCAGCACCCACTTGGTGGTTCATAACGAAGCATATCTCCAGTTCCATATCCAACACCCTCTTTCTAGCCTGACGGCACTGCGTGCATGCTGTGCACAGATACATGGGCAAAACACCACCAATACACACTGGGCAGTGGTGGCGCACGCCTTTAATCCCAGCACGTGGGGAGGCATAGGCAGGTGGATCTCTCCGAGTTCGAGGACAGCCTGGTTTACAGATGAGTTCCAGGACAAGCTCCAAAGCTATGGAGGAACCCTGTCTCAAAAAAACCAAAAACCAAAGCAAACCAAACCCTTACTAATTCACATAAAATAAACCCAAGAAAAACATTTTAAAACTTAAAACTTGGCCCTTATAAAAAACAGAGATGGTGCAATTACAACTTTTAAACTGTAGAGAAGCAAATGGAAAATAATTTTGCCTATGATGGTGGAGAAAGGTGCACACTACTCCATGTACATAGAACAGAAGCCAAGACATGTACTTGTGTACGTGGTTCTCTCCTTACATGGGCTGCTAGCTTTGCTCAGGCTGCAGCTTCCCTGCAGAGCACCCTGCTGAAGAAGAATTTGCTGAGCACATAAGCATCATCCTCAAATAATCCGAGCAATAACAAATATTGAAATACATACAGTGGAAGGGTTCCCTGTTAGGATTCCTATCTTCCTAAATTGCTTTCGTTTCAGGAGAAAAACAAAAGGCTGATGTCTGGCTTTTTGGTTAAATGAAAGACACTAGACAAATGGGTCCACTCTTGACCTAGCCAAACAGTATTAGCTAGCAAATTATGTGCCAGCTTATATGCACATAGTGTTTCTTCAAATCAGTTTTTACTTTCAATAAGCACTACACGAGCATTAGGTTGTATCATTCTGCCTGTCATGTAAGGAGTTGCTGCTCTGCCTCCCACAATTAGGCTGCACACAGCTGGCTCTGAGGCCACATTTAAAGTCATAACTATTCTAGCAAGACACAAACCTCAGTAAACCAGCAGGTTCTCCTTACAATGGCACATTTAACAGAAGCCAATGTCTCTAGGTAGCTAACTCAAACTACAACCAAGTGACACAACTATGTTTTGAGTACACGGTGTTTAGTGGCAGTGAAAACCTATGTGCCCACTGTTGTCCAACCAGAACACCTAGCTCCACTAATTAAAGTCACTGGCCTGTCTTACTCTGTTGCTTTAAACAGGGAAGGAGCTGCAGAGGAAAGCAGCAGTCATAAGAAACATCTCTGTCTTCTCCTACCACAGTGAGAAGTGAATAAAGACAGCAACGGTTTTAAAAAGTTAACTTATATTAAAAATATTTTGTATGCCAACATTTTAATGCTACAAAGTATTTCAATACAAAGCAGTTCAAATATTAACTTCTTTAAACTGTTAAACTTTATTATAAATTAAATTTTCTTTACAAAAAAATTGCACATAATATTTGATCACTCTTAGGTTCTGATGCACTGGCATTTGCAATAGTTTCTTTAAATCTTCAAGTTAAACAGTCTCAGCAAGGAGTCCAGAACGTAGAAAGGGCAATAAACAACCCTGCTAGAACATTCAAAGTGCAACTAGCAGACTTGTGGCCATGGCAGTTACACTTTCCTTAAGATGGACTGCTTACGTTTGAAACCCTGAAATGAAGAATCTCAGAGATTTAAAGAGGAGGAACTAAAAGGGACTGCCTGCTTTTTTACTGTAAACACGGCCCTGAAAACTAAATCCCAAACAAGAATCTCTCAGGCATCAGAGAGTGTCAAGTGGATCAGGAATAGCACAACATAAAGGTAGGGAAAGTAAAAAACGAAACAAAAAACAAAGTAAAATGAAAATAAATGTCAGTCGCTTTGAGGAGCTATACTTACGTACATGATGTTAGAGAATCTGGCAGGGCCCAGAAGCAGGCCAAACAGGAAGTTCATTTATCCATTCCAAGAGTGTCATTCATGTTCATTGCTTCCGGTTTTAAGGAGAGGATATTGTAGGGAACTTGATATGATCAATAATGCTTGTCTGCCTTACCCAGACCTTAGCCAGGGATCAGCCTAATCTTGAAGAATCATTCAAATAATTTTGGCAATTATTATAAGGGCTTAGAACTGACTGCACCCAGTGTTCAGTGATTCTTGCTTTCTGTTTTGTTACTGTTTAAATTTAAGAGCTCATTTAGGCTGACTCCAATCTCTTGGCACTTGGAAACTAGTTTTCTCAGGTTATCAGTTTTACCTCCTTCTGATGCTTCAAACAAGAGTTGCTGTAAAAGACAGGGAAGCATAGAAGTAAGAGACAGCTAGGTTTTGAGCATTTACCACATCAATGGATATGGCACATGCAGAAAATTTATAGGAAAACATCAAGATAAAATAAAAGATAAAAAGCATTACATCTTTCCATAGTGATGCACAAAGAGGTAACTTCTGTAAGGCTCTCTGATATAAACGGTGGACCTATAAGATAGACAGACATACTGCCATCAGAAAACACCAGGGACAGACAACAGCTTCACAATCCTGTTCAAGGCAGACTTTACAATATACTATCATTCAAGTCAAAAATGCTTGTCTTGGGCTTTAGAGATTCCAAGTAGGGTTCTTGGAATGTTAACTTCTATTTTTAATCCTTTTTAAAGTGAGGCCAACAAAGGGGGCAGAAGAGCTAAAAGGAAAGAAGTGCCCATCTGGTAATTCAGTAATGGATGGCTTACCTCTTTTTGTCCCTTTAGAACAATCTCAGCAGCAATGGCTCTAAGGGGAAAAAAGGAATATAGAGAAGGAGGAAAATTTTATATATCTTCAAACAAAATGAAACACACCACTGGCAGAATACTGATTGTGGGAATCTGAGTACAAAACTTCCTGAAAGTAACAGGCTAAACTTCCAAGGAGTGTAACCTATAGTGAAAAGAAAAATTCAACAATTTTTATCAACTTTACAAGAATAAAACAGACCAGTGTTTTTGAACATGAATAAGATTCATGGGAGCAGGGGGAAAAAAAAGAAACACATTTCAAAACTAGTTAAAAAAAAAAAAAGATCTGGCACTAACATGTTTAAAATAACGAAAGAAACCAGACTACAACAAGGAAAACCCTACAATTTAGAGATGGTCCTAAAGTGTTATACACACTTATTTGTTTGATAACAATATTGTATTGTTATCTAAATGTTCTCACTCATTAAAATATTGTTGTTTTTAAGTTCATTGAGCAGCAATTAATAAATTATTTTACTCTCCCTAGGTATTAAACTATAGCAAATGTCCAAATAACTCTATATTAGTCTGCCTCGGGGAGGGAGAAAAGATTCTATTTCAGATTTACCTGTCTGGAGCAACCCTTACAAATAAAAGCATAGCTATAAAAACATGTACATGATTGTTGCATTACATTTTCCAGGTGGCCAGGCATGTTGGGATATTATATGTAAACATCTTGGCTTGGAGTTTCAGAATCTGAACATTGCTTTCTTCCCATTCGTGTTGAAGTAGCCTGTAAAGTACATTCAAGAAGATGAACAAAGCATTCAAAGTACAGGGCACCCCAAATGCGCTCTCTGACAGAATGTATGACCAGGTACAAAGGTTGGTCAGTTAAATCGGATCAGGGGCATCCAGCAAATATTTATAGAATGTAACTTATGATAATTGCCCCAGGATCAGAATTTGCTAACTGTTCTATGGTCTTCAATAAGAAGATCATATAATCCTGCAGAAAACAAAAGCAACCTCAAGTGTTTTTTCTTCATGGAACATACTTAATATTGAATGTTTCTGGGACAAAATAGAGACATAATGGCTCAGTGTTAAGTTCTGGTTCTTGTGGTGCAGGGAGGTAGCAAAGACAACCATAGGAAGAGTGCACCAAAACAAAAAGTGTGCTTTACCCACAATTAATTATCTATGTTCTAAAATGCTTATCACAGTAGAAACTAGATACACACAGAAACAAAATACAATCATATTTTCTACTTCACATGCTTATCAAAGGTAATTTCCTTTATTCAAATTTCCATCATTGGCTTCTGAAGAATAACACAGTTGGTATGAAATTTAATTATTAGCCATGAATATGGATGGGTAATTTTCTCACAAATTTAAGCTTTTGCATTATTTTTCCAGTTATATTGTATATATCATATGCATCATAGTATGGAGACAATCTTTAAAATCCAAGAGAATATCCAATAAACACTTTATGGTAAGACACAACCAATACAGTAGAAATGACTGCACAAGTGGATGTCCATGCATGGACAGGTTAAAGTACTCCATAAAAACTTCAAGTTGGTTTTTGAGAGTAAACAAAATGTTTACCCTGACAGAGCACATAAACCACAACTAAGGGTTCAGAAATTCTCTTACTCTAATTGAATGTAAGAAATCCTAGGTCAGTGCTTAAACAGGGTTTGAGGGTCTAAGTTTAGGAATTTTGATTTTATGTCATAAATCTATGAGATTCCATTACATACTAAATATCTGAATAACTGACATGGAAATCTCTTAATATTCCTCTACCATGTAAAACAGGTTTCTGCTTATAATGCATATGCTAATGATAAATGGTTTGTTTGTAATCTACAGTTCTCTGAAACGACCAGATTTTCATATTGGCTTTTGTATGAATAATTACATATGAGTTAACAATTCTGAGATAAAATAGTACATATCCATGAGGAAAGAGCAGAACAACACAGTTTTATCAAGTTTTCAAGAATAATTTCAATTTGAAGGGCCTATAGTACTGAGTGAGAACCAAAAATTTTCTTACCTCAGTGCAAGTTGAGAATTAGTTGGCATAATAGAGCAAAACCGTTCCAAGGTTTTGGAATGCTGAGTCTTTGGAACACAGCTCAAATAAAAGAAAATCACCTGTGAAGGGAGAGCAAATTTCAACCGAAATGCAGAGTCTAGTTATTGTATGCATTTTAATGAAAAAAGTCTTTAAGACACAAATGTACAGATTATGTATGACTAATTACCATTAATTATGCTAGCCACTTTCTAAGTACAAGTTAGAGATTGGGGTCTAAGGAGGAGAACATGGACAAAGCACTGACAGGAAGCAGAGTCTGAGTTTTCAAGCCTGAGTCTCCTTTACTTGTTGTATTGCTGAGCAAATCAACGGAGCTAACTATACTTGCCACAGCTTGCTCATGGGATCCCTGTGAGAAAATGTGACTTAATGTCCATGTACTGCTTTTAGTTCCTGGGATAAAGAACGGCACAGAAGCATGACACACAGTAACTGGTTATCCTGATGAGCCCAGAACCATCCTATGGGGAGGGTGAGGATGAGGGTGTCTAAATCTACCCTGAATTTCAGTAAGTAGGAGCTTCTGGGTGCATTTCATTGACTGAACTGAGACTGAAAGGGAAGGAGGTGCTTTGCTTCATCACCTACATATACTATACCACTGTGAGTGCGTGTTAATCAGGTTTACTATTACGAATGTAAACAGCACCTTGTTTTCAGCTTTGTTATGCCTCGTAGCTGCACTTGCTTAGCAAGAAGAGTTACAATGGATATGCTGATTCCTACAAGGCCTGACAGGCACCTTTTCCTAGACTTGGAAACATGAAGAATTGATGACAGGAATGACAGTGAATGTTAGGAAAGTGGTCTCAGGAAAACCTCTCAATATAAAATAGTAGTTTTGCCTTGCTGTCATTGTTCAGTTTTCTTTGCTATATACAAACATCTAAAGAAAAGACATTTAATTCTTACCCGATTATGAAATTCATAGTTGGACCAGTAATCAGCACTGCTAAAAGGGATGGGGTATCGGGCAGGGACAGTAACCAAACATCTATTCACTAAGTCAGTAAAAAATTTGAATTCTTGGACTTTGTTTCTGGATCCAGCAGCTCTATTATTGGCAAAGACAAGATAACTGCCAAAAGAAAAACACAGTACTTTAGAATAATTAAGCCAGTAACTCACCAAAAAAAGCTGATCACCCCTTCTCCCACCAGAGGATTATTCTAGAAATCCCATTCATAAAAGGAACTAAACTTACTCCATCCAAATCTTCTGGACTATATCAGACCTCATGGCCACCCCCAATGCTGCCTCATATGCTTCTACTGTCTCTTTAATACTTGATTGAAGAGGATGACAAAGACTAAGAAATAAAGAAAAACGTGTTTATAGTTTGATTTCATTACGTAAAGGAATGACAATGCACATGTTAAACAGCACAGATATTATTATTATTATAGTAAAGTCTACTTGCTCTTGTCATTCACTAAATAACCAGCCTTAGTATCTCTGGCTTCAGTGACATTTTTTAATACATCATAATTCAGTAATAAACATCAGCTACAAATACAAAATAGGTTCAACATGTAATGTTCCTCTCCAAAGTGGGTAATGTCTCACCAATAAATCAGCCACAAATAAGGGACTTGGTTGTTAAATACTTCATCATCAAAATTCCCTTTACATAAACAGGCTGGAATGTCAAGTGGTCCTGGGATATTTAAGAGATAGCTGAAAGAAGAAAATCACAACATTGTATGAAATTATGCCTAGGCACACATGGATTAAAATGCAATCACTGATACTCTTCAATTTCAACTTAATTGAAATATTTTTACAAAATAATGAACTTTTCTAAAAGTCATATTCAAAATTTTACTTTTCTACTAATATGAACTAACTCCTCCCAAATAAACTTGTAATTCTATCCTCTCAAAAAAAATGCTAATTTTATCAAACAAATCATCTAGTTGAACCTAATTAAAAGACCAAATAAGATTACCAAGTATCTAAAATTTCCACAAAATGTATATTCTTATGGGGGGGGGTGCTTACAAAACCCACTATCTGCATCTTTATCAAAAAGAGAGCCATTATCAAACAAAGTAGAGAAATGCTCTGGATTGTATCGCCCTTCGAAAAAAAGAATAACAATATTAAAGGTTCTTAGAAATTCTTATTTGACTTTCACTATTTCAGCTTTCTTTCTGATGTATCCGAATATCTTTATATTTAATACCAGGATCTCAGATTCATCAATCTTGAAATGGCAATCTAGTATAATCATTTACATTAAATCTTAAAAGGACTACAAGGGGGAAAGTTTCAAAAGACTAGCCCAGCTTGTGGGAAGGCAGCATCTGCAAGTTGGGTTATCATCCTACATTATCACTGCCAGCTGTATTACCCTGGTTATCTACTAAATTTCTAAGGATTTTAGAATCCTCTACTGACTTCAAATCTAAAATACATAAAATTGTATAATCTCTAGGGCAATTTCCTCAAAGTGAATGAAAACACCAAGTTAACTTTCTAAATTTACTTGAAACAAATGAAATAGTTCTTACTGCTTGCCATCTTTATACTAAATGTCACAAAAAAAAAGTTGATCAAATTTACTTCCAGGTAAGTATTACAATGCCACATATTCTACTTTATAATTGCTGTCCATGCATTTATATCTTGAAGCCAGGTTGTAGAACATGCCTTTAATCCCAGCACTCAGGAGGAAGAGAAAGGTAGATTTAGCAAGTTCGAGGCCAGCCTGGTCTACAGAGAGCATTCCAGGACAGCCAGGGATACAGAGAAACCCTGTCTCAAAAAACAAACAAAAAAGAGTGGGGGTGGGAGAATTATATCTTGAATATATAAGGAATACTGATTTCTACTAATTAACTGATTATAATGTAAGCTTAAAATTATATATAAACATATGGTGTGTATACATAAACATAGCAATGCCAAAAACCACCTCATTTATTGGCATTCTCCTAATATCTGACTCAGACTTTTTGTCTTCTCACTATGTAGCCCAGGCTGCTCTTAAACTCACATCTTCTACCTCAGGCTCCCAAGGGCTTGGATCACAGTGTGCCACCATGCCCGGTTAGAGGTTTCTTAAATTAGTCCTCGTGTAGACAAGAACTTTTAAAAGTACAGGTGTCTTTTCCTAATTCTTGGTGATAAATAATTATTTCACAAAAGAATTTAATAAAGCAGGATGTCTCAGTAAAAAAAAAAAAAAGAGAGAGAGAAATGATCTGCAGGCAATGTAGCTCCGAGTTTGTGCTGCTATTGTCTCTATTCTGCTCTAGTAAGCTAGCCTCAGGAAGATCTAAAGACCTTTGATTAGTTAGTTACACCAAGGCAAACTCTAGCATCTCTTACACTAGACCAATTATCTCCACGCCCAGGGGAAACCAGAACACGAGTGTTTGTAAAGGGTTTTGTCTGGCCTTGAATGGCCAAAGATCGAAAACAAACCAATTTAATTTTAAAGGGAAAAAAAATGGGTATGGAAGAGGGGAACAACTCTCAATTCCTTGTATTTTTTTTTCTTGTTGTTGTTAATTCACATTTAAAACTGCTTTGGTTCTAACTATATTTTAAAATATTAATGTGGATATAGCAGGTAACTTAGAATTAAGTTTTGTTTTGTTTTAAATCCATTGGTAACCAACAAATAAAACCCACCAATGAGATGATCTCAGGATACAAGTTACTACACTTAGCAAAAATGAACAAGCTGAATGGAGAAGCTACAATAAGCCTTCCATTGTATGACACGAGCATTTTATATCTTGCTTTCATTTTTTATTCTGTTTATCTAACCCTCCTAACAGTTCTGCAGGCAGGTATTCAAGTGCTAAACAAAGTCTGAAATGCAAATCAGCCAACAAGAAAAAAAACATCTTTCCACTGACCTATATTCTGTCACTCAACGAATCAAAATTTGCGCAACTTACCGAAATAAATCTACGTTACTGTACTTCTCAAACCCAGGTTTAAAAAATGATGCAATAAATTGCCGCAAAAATGGAAGAAGATTATCGCCTCGGTTCTAAAAAAAAAAAGTGACACATATCAGGCCTATTATAACTGGTAAGATGTTTCAAAGTCATTTTATAAAATCATGATGACATATTTCTTGAGCAGATGAGGACAAAATGAGTAAGTTTAGGACACATCCTCAATTCTTGTGATGATTGGTTTTGTCAACTTGACACAACCTAACTCCCTGGGAAGAGTCTCTGGGAAGAGGGACTGGCCTGTCTAGACCAGCTGACCTGTGGGAATCGTCCACTGCAGACGGTGCCATTCCCAAGGCAGGGGACCCTGAACTATGTAAGTGGGCACAGCAAGTGAACACTAGCAAGCACACATGCACCACCCTCTGCTCCTAACTGTGACATATGATTTGTCACTTCACACTCCTGAGGCTGAAATAATAGATGGTGACCTGGAACTATGAACTAAAATAAACCCCATCTTCCCCTAAGCTGCTTTTGTCAGGGTTGCTTTTTGTTTGTTTTAATCATAAAAACAGAAATGAATTTGGAACACCTCTGAATTAAAATCCATTAAACAATGTATCTAATATTATCACAGGCTACAATTCACCTACTAAGAGCTTAGGCTATCACATTTGCCATGGATACTTTGGGTGTAAACACAAGTTACAGTTTGTACTCTTGAGGAGTTCAAAGAAACAAAGCCCTGTAGCAAATGCAATGAAAAAACTGCAGCAAAACCAAGAAAAGTCTACCTTAACTTACAGAGGACAGAAGGACCAAGAAAGACATGATTCCAGAAGACATTGGTAAAGAAATACAAAATATTTAAGAACCATGAGTTGTTTTTACCTGCAGGATGAAAAATTTGCACAGATGATAAAAAACTTCTGCATTCTGACAATTATTTTCAAATGCGGTAAGCCATACCATTCGGGCTTTGTCATACTGATCTGTTTTCAAATACAAAGCAGCAAGTGTTTCCAGTAACTGGCAGTTTGCAGGACATGATTCCAACAAGCTTTTGCACAGCTCTACTGCCGCCTCATACCTTAAGAAGAGTAAGATGGTTGAACAGACTTCTACTAAAACTGATCTTAAACAGAGTTGTTCGTTAGTGAATCCTTACCTCTCGAGGAGCTGGTGCAGAGCAATCATGTTTGTGTACAGTGGAAGGCAGACTTCTATTCTTTCCCCACTGCTAAGGCTCTCATCTGTACAAGCTTTCACGGCATCTACCACAAAACATTACAACATGAGCCAAACATACAATCCATTATTTGACTGTTACACCAACTCTAAGAGACAAGAAGAAGGAAGCCCTAGCCTTTACTTGCCCACCATCCTTTTTACCTTCACTTAACCCTGACATTTACCCAAGTGAGGTATTTTAGTTATTCCCCAACTCCTTAAATTTGTGTCTATATATTACCATACTTCCTGTTAAGAGTGAGGTGTCCAAGATGGAGGAGTGATGAGCAAAGGGGTCAAGACCATACTGGTGAAACCCACAAAGACAGCTGACCAGACAAGGGGGAGCTCTTGAACCCCAGGCGGATGGCTGAGAAGCCAACATGGGACTGATTCAGACTCCATGAATGTAGTATCAGTGAGGAGGCCTCAGAAATCTCTGGAGCCTTGAGTAATAGATCAGTGTTTACCATGACATACGAATGAACTTTGGGAGCCCATTCCACATAGAGGGATGCTCTCTCAGCCTGGGCACATGGGAAAGGGCCTAGGTCCTGCCCTGGATGAAATGACAGACTCTGGAACTCTGGAGATTCCCCCAAGGAGGGCCTCACCCTCCCTGGGGAATGATATGGGGATTGGATGGGGAGCTGGATCGGGGCTGATGGAGGGACAAGGGAGGAGGGGTGGGAGGGGGAGCTGGGATTGACATGTGAAGCATTCATGTTTCCAATTTAAATAAAAACATATATGAGAGATAAAAAAGTGAGCTGTCCCATTCAAGAGCCCACGATAAGCGATTCTTTACTCATTCCAAAACTAGAACCACAAAATTATCTTTTAATCTTTCTCTGATCACTTAAATGGAGTCTTTCTTTGCTGTTTCACAGTCACTTCAATGTCTTCCCTAAACTAGACCTTCCCCTTACTTTTTAAAAAGATGTATTTTTCAACTGAAAACGTAAGATCAGTCCTTCAGCTGGGCTTACACCTTCTTATGGAGGTGTTATTGTCTGTACTCTACATAAGACAAGTCTTGGCCCCACATGCCTTTATTCAGAGCCATCTCACTGGCCATGTTACTTTTCTGGTTTGTTTTCCAATATGTAGTAAAATTTCAACCATTTTCTCCTTAAAGAATCTCTTCTCAATCAAGTCTATAACACTTTACAAATTCTTAAAATTGGCCATCATTCCACTAAGCAAGCTTAATCTTTTAGTTGTCTAGCAGAATTCTTCAAATTCCTCTTTAAACTCACTACACAAATTCATCATTAGCTTGCTTTTCATTTCCTAGCTCCTCTAACAGGAATAGCCTTTTCTTTCCTTTCTGCACTAGGCTATTCAACAATGATTTACTAAGCACATAATAAATTATAGGAATTCATCAAAGTGCTCAGCAAATACAGAGACACAAGCACAGGTTTAGTCTTTGAGAAGGTCTACTTGGGCACATCACAGTCCTGTTCCAAAGACCAGTTCCAACTCTTAGACATCTGCCTTGAACATGCAAGCCTACAGTAATTTTTCCTCCTTGAGTTCAAGACTTGTACCAGATAATTCTATAAATACCAGATCCTTTCTTCTGTAGCATACAACTTTACACTACCTACTAATACATTTTGTGTGTGTTGGGGGGTATATATATATGCATACATACATACACATATATATATGTGATCTTATATACTTTTATGTCAAATGCATAGATCTAACAGAGATTATACTTGTGTTATACTTATTTTAGGGAGAAACAGGTTTTAAACTTTATTATATGTTCAATGGCAGATATATGTTTACAATATCATAGTCATAAAATTCATTGATGGAGGAAAGAATAGCTAGATGAAAAAAACAAAACATATCCTTTAAGCTTCTACCTTAAAAAAAGGCTGCCAGAACAAAAATAAAGCCAAGTTCTCCAATTGAATCATTCCTCTATCCCAAATTATATTATCAGAAAGTGTGTGTGCATTCAGAGGCACATGTATTTATTAACAATACACTTATCTAATATCCTTTGCCATAATAAATCATAATGTAACTTTTCATTTTCATAGATGTAATGACCATCTTAAGTAATTCAGCAATATTAAAAATAATTAGATTATAATACACTACAATTTCCACATAAGCTACCCTATTTTACAAAGAATCATAATGAATAAAGAACTGGTGTGCTAACATCAGCTTTGTAACTTGTAATGGTTTATGTTATAATCTATAAATATCACTTACCTTCAAACACTGCTAATAATAAGTCAGGATTAGTCTTTACGTCTTGAGCCGATTGCCATGGCATTACGAAGGGCTCTGTGTTAACAATTCTTGAAGGATTAGCATTGGATGGATCATAAAATTTTGAAGGGAGACTATTAAATTCAATAAGATGTATGTAGGCCAGCCACGCCAGACATCGATCATCTATCTTAAGGTACTCAGCCACTATTGCATCATTAGCCAATTTTAATGCATTCTAGGGAAAACAAAAATAATTTGAAAACATTTTTAAAAATACATTCCTATCCATAATAAGATTCAAACCTAAAGAATGAAACTGTTTAAGTGATTCATAAATACACACATGAAAAAAATGTTCCTTTTTTGTTTTTGTTTTCTGTTTTTTGAGACAGGGTTTCTCCTCTGGAACTCACTATGTAGACCAGACTGCCCTCTAACTCAAAGAGATATGCCTGCCTCTGCCTCCTGAGTGCTGGGATTAAAGGCAAGTGACACCACTGCCCAGCTTGCAAGTGAAAATTTTAATCACCAAATTTTTAGATGACAAATCTTGAAATGAGCACAGATTTTATTGCCTTAATGTTTATGATGTACTAATGAAATAATATGAAAAGTACTAAGTTTATTTACACTTAAAATCCGGTAAGTTAAAGACAAAAACAAACAACTGAAACAACAACAATAAAACTGAAACATATACCCCCACCACACATCAACAACAGGTGATTTTCATTATAGACTGATCTTTTTTAATTTGTATCTTAAGTCTTAGCTGGTGAGTACCTAAAACAAGTCTTTCCCATGTTTCCTTGTAAGAGCTCTGTGCCAACCAAACAGAAGTAGAATGTCACCATAACTTATGAGTAAATGACAAAACAGAAGTTCAAATCCAAAGCCTGTGCTGTACAAACCAACAGTAATATGCATGTCTTAGACCAATATACATGCTCTCCCAAATGAAGTTAAGTACTATAATAAATGTTTACCTGTAAAATCGCAAGTGCACTTTGGCATCTCCCGGTGAATATGTGCAGCTGAACTCTAAACAAAAGAGCCTCTAAAAGCTGAAAGGACAGAATATCTGATGGCTCCCGTTTGGCTGCTCCCATCAGAAACTGCACCATCCTCTCACAGACGTAATCCTTCTCCTCAAAGGTGCTTTCCAGATGTAGGAACTGATTGAAAGAGTTTCAGGTAATTACTCTTACTTTATAGGGAAAAACTTTTGTCTTTCAAATTACGATACGAGTAATTTTAAGAATGTACAAATCCACTTTCCAGTCTAATATCCCAATCTGCCCTTCTGTCACAGATTAGAACACAAAACCAAGTGAACTAAAACAATTAGATGTACTCTCCTCCAGGTCATCACTGAGAGCAATTCATTTTCTTTTTCTGAATCAATATACAGAGAGCAAGACCATGAGAGATACACAAGCTTACGTTTATGATTATACCAATCTGTGTTGGTTAGGTATAAGATTATTTACAATTTGAAGAATTGCATCTGTGGACTGGAGAAATAGCTCAGCAATTAAGAGCTGCTCCAGAAGTCCTGGGTTCCATTACCACCACCCACATAGTGTCTCACAATGGTCTGTAATCTAGTCCCGGGGCTCCCATGCCCTCTGATACCCAAGTCACCACACACACAAATGGTATACAGACAGACATGTAGGCTAAGCACCCATACACATGAAATAAAAAAATTTTAAAAAGAGCATTTGTATTAGAAATATATGATATACTGAAGAGCAAACAAATTTAAGGAAAAAAATACATCTTTTGAATATTCTTTCCATGGAAAGTTTTGTGATAATCAACAGCATCAACTTCAGTACATGCTTCCAAATTCAGAATTAATAAAGCCTTTGCTATTCAAGTCTCTTCAGCACCTCAGCTCAAAAAGGGCAAGTTATAGCAATCAATTCATTTATTAAGAGGTATTAATTATGCTGCCCAAACTTATGTCAAAGAAATTAGAGGTAAGACTTCATAAACAGTGAAGAAAAATTTTAAAAATCCCAATAACCATAATTTTACAAAACAAAAGAAATTTAAGAGTATTTTTTCATATTCTGTGAAACTCCCTTTAACTTTGTCCAAATGAAAACTGTATAACAATTTGTCTAAGTTTTATTATTTTTCTTTAACCAATAAATTTAACAATGTTTTCTCTAAATATTTCTCATGTTTAGTCAAAAATCTATCCCTATAGAGAAGTGACTGGGAACCTAAGAATCTGGTTAAGTAAATCTACATACTGATAAAAGTATTATCTATTAAGCTACGTATCAATAATTAAGATGCTCCAAGGAATTACGAGCACAGCACACATCTCAACCACATGACTACTATCTTTTCTACTTACAGTCCAAAAGCTTTGGTAGTCAGGAGCATATTCAACAGCTGTTTCACACATTTCCTGCACCTCCTCCTTGGTCCCTCTTTTGGAGAACAATCTGAGGTAATGGCACCAAATTTCTGGATTGTCTTTATTGTTTTCCAGTGCTCGAGCCAGTACATTCAAAGCAGAATCCAAAGATTCTGAACACAGTCTGTATGTTTAAAAGGAAGAGCAAAGTGTTCCATTATAAAATGCCTGAGCGCTAAGGCGCCCAGTGTAGCAACATGTGCCCAGCAGACACATGGCACAGGTACAGTCAATCACCAGCAGTGCAGAAACTAAGTAAACTGCATCACAACATCTAACATCTAAGTAGGGCTAATCAAACGATCAAACCTACTCAAAGCCAGGATCACAATGATAAAAAGTAATAAATTGGGATTTTAAATCATGTCTGTCAAAGCCCAAAGATCCTAATCTCCCATAGACTGAATAATTTCTGTTTAAATGGATATTCAGTAAGCATTTACCACAGATAAAAACATGGTATAATAAAAGCACTAAGATTATCAACTTCAAATGTGATCTACATACATATTCAGCAATACCTTTTATGATTTATACTGTTTAAAAACAGGAAAAGTTAAACAACTCCCTTTCAAGGCCAGCTACTGCCAGCACAAAATATCAAAGCTTTCAATATAATGGTTCTTTTCAGTTCAAGGGCTTGCTATCTCCTAAAGAAGATAATTCTCTCATGATCCTATTCATACAGTAATGTAGTTCTTTTGTCCTTTACTCAATAAACAAGTCTGACAAGAAAACACTGTAACTTACTCCATTCTCATGGAAACCACACACAGGTAACTTCAATAAGACCATGTTCTGTATGTGTGTTTATCAGCATGCTGTAGCCACTACCTTATTTAACAGGTTTTATACTGTTTTACGATTAGTCTTTCCCAAAAGATTACTTTAAAAAAAATCATTATACTTTCAAATTACATTGTAAAGATTATTCCTGGCTTGCTCTCCACTATTTAAAAGCAGATATAAAATCTGTAACAGAAACTACTGGCTGTGAAATATATTACTTGTTGTAACTTGCCTATAGCCATGCACAGCAAAAAAGACCAATTCCATCAGAATTCGAAGGTGGTTAAGTAAACTTCGATCTCCATTGCAAATTAACCTAAAATTTAATCTGTCCTATTCTCACAATTTTACTAACAAACTTTTTGCCCCCTTTTTTGGTTTAAGACAGGCTATCACTATTGACTGGTCTGGAACTCTATGTGGAGCTAACTTCAGTATTAGCCACTGAGCCATGAACACAAAATGAAGCTCTATTCTTAAACTTTTCTAGTAGGTTTAGAGCAATAACAGAATACTTTTGGCTTTGTCAAAAAACAAAACAAAGATTCAAAGCCAGGAATGATGGAATCTACCTATAATTTAGTACCTGGGAAGTAAAAAAGAGGAAAGTAGTAGTTCAAGGTCATCCTCAACTACACAGCAAGTTCTAGGCCAATCAAGGTTACATGAGACGCTCTTTCAAAAACTGTACTACTCAACCAGGCGCAGTGGTGCAGTGGCTCACACATGCAGTGTCAGCACTTGAGAGACTGAAGCAGGACTGCCTGGACCACAAAAGACTTTCAGACCAGCACTGATGAGAATGAGACCCTGTCTCAAGACAAAAGACTCCACTGATAGATAGCAAGAAGGAATTCTGATGACCATAGGTAAAATAAAATAAAAAGTAAAGGTATAAATATTTCAAAACAATATGAAGCTGACCTACCCTTCATTTTGATTCAAGCACTTGTATGCGAGTTTGAGCCAAAGTTGTACATGAGAAGGATTTTCAAGTACACTAGCTTCTAAGTTAGCAATGTCATCAGTTTCACTGGTAAAATATCTAACATCATCTGGAGTGACAACAGTATCCAAAGCTGGAACATTTATTTGGTTCTCTGGTCGGAAGGCTATAAAAACAAGCACCATTAGCTTAATATCTTCTATAACAACGGGGGATTGGGGAAGAGGGTTGTTTTCATCGTTAAAGATTCTAATGACTAGTAGTTAGACGATTTTCAGGTCTAAAATCAAACTGTCAGAAAATTAACCATTCAAACCTCGACACTTCTAGAAGTAAAAATGGTGCTATTTCAAGCATCAGGAAAATAAGATAAATGGAACCTTAGCTTATAAACTATAAGTATGATCTGCTGTTAAATTATATTAAGCATATTAATTACATTAAAGGTAAGTGATATCATCAATAATTGTGAATTATAGTTTCAAAACTAAAGTTAAAATACAGCCATGATGGCGCACACCTATAAACCCAGCATTACAGAGGTGGAGGCAGAAGGATCAGGAGTTCAAAGCCAGTCTTGGTTATGTAAGACCTTACCCTGTTTATGTGTTGGGGTACTCTAAGTTAAAAGTTGCAAAGTATTTCTTCTATATCTCAACTATAGAATCACACATTACATAATCACAAATAAGCACATGAGTGCTCCTGAACCTCATTATTAGTCCACAAACTATGCAAACTAGAAATTAGAATGCAAGATGTACTCAACAATGAGTTTCTTCACTGGTCTCAAACACACACACACACACACACACACACACACATACGTACACACACGTTTATTGCATGTCAGAAAATACAGACTCCAAGATAAAACAAAAAAAAAGCATGTGTTTTCAAGACTCTGGCAAGGCAGTGGTTTTCAAATGAAGCTATGATCACCCCACTAAAGTACATTTGCAAATATATGAAGTATCTTATTAGTGTTTTTCCTATTTATTGGGCAGGGAGCATCAATGAAAACATCCTGCAATATCAGCATCAATTCTGCACAAGGAATACATGTATTGCAATTGCATTTAAGACAATGAAAAACACCAATGATACAAGTTAAAGAAAGAGCATTTTATAAACTAGGTTAGTAGATACACTGGAAGAATTGTCAGTGTTTTGAAAAAGGAAACAGCACTTAGTAATTCTAGATCTCAAATGGAGCAACTTCTTACCATACTGAATTGGTCCTGCAGACTGCTCATCATCACTGCTGAAGCTATTCTCTGATACAGGTTTTCTACAAAATTTTGGCTTCCATTTTCTTTTATCTTTGTAAGTTGTAAATGGCGGTGCTAACACAGACAGGAGAAGATTGTTAATTGATGTAACTAGGTATTTTCTTTATTATATTGAGACTTTAATGGAGGTACATTTATTTGATCATGGTAGTAAAAGACAACATTCTCTTTAAGAATGTAATGCCAGACAGAAATAAGAAACAACATGCATACATATACACACATACATACTTACTATGACCTTTACTTTCATTAACATTGCTAACAAGGAGAACAGCCATCTGGTCCATTGACATTCGGTCTTTGTTTACACCAAAAAGTTTTTCAACATACTTTTCTGAAAATAAAATAGTGATACTGTATTTAATACAAAAATTTGACTGCTAATTGAAGAGTACAAAGCAAGGAATAACTTAAGACTTAATCTATATATGATATTATTCAGTAACACCTATTACCTACGAAAGGGCAAGGTCTACAGTTAGCGTAATTATTATGACAAATCCTTCCCACCACACCACAATATGAACTGGAGCTGATAGTTCACAGACTAAATGAACTATGAACTACATTATTAAATAAAAGTAGAAAGCCCAAATGAGGAATAATAAAGGTCTGTGATTTAGAATCACTCTGGATAGTGATCACTCACACACACATACACACACACACACACACACAATTCCTTTAATCCAAAAGATATTATATGGCACCAGAATCTGGGGAGAAATAAAACAATACTATGTCACAAATGTTTGCTAATAATCTATGGTTTCTACTTCAAATATATAATAAGGTACTTTCTACTTCACTATAGGATCTGGAGGCTAAAGTCATGTTAACCTTTAGTCCTCCTGTGCTTTTGAAAACAGCAAAAGAAAGTAAGAGTCTATACTAAAGTCATCATAAACTATCTACTCAAGTGTTACTATTTTTTCCCTAATAAACCGGACCATATGAATGACTACAGAACCTTCCGTAACATGGAAAGGTCTTAAATCTCTGTAGTCCTACTAGTCGGCACTTGTCACTTGGCTACTAAGTACTTAAAGTGTGGCTAGTAAGACTGATGAATTATGCATTTATTTAAATTTACATTTAAGGGCTGAAGAGAAAGCTCAGCGCGTTAAGAGCACTGGCTGCTCTTCCAGAGGTCCTGAGTTCAATTCCCAGCAACTACATGGTGACTCATAACCATCAGTAATAAGATCTGATGCTCTCTGCCGGGCGGTGGTGGCGCACGCCTTTAATCCCAGCACTCGGGAGGCAGAGGCAGGTGGATCTCAGTGAGTTCAAGGCCGGGCTGGACCAATAGCCTCCAAAACAATACAGAGAAACCCTGTCTCGAAAAAAACCAAAAAAAAAAAAAAAAAAGATCTGATGCTCTCTTCTGGAGTGCATACATACATGCAGGCAGAACACTATATACATAATAAATAAAAATAAAAAACCTTTAAATTTACATTTAAAGCCCAATATGCGGCTAGCGATTAGTGTGCGTGATGGGGCAGATACAGGTAACTGTTATAAGTGAATGTACTGAATTATGGGTTGTTTTGAAAATACCATAAACTGGGGATGATTTTTAAGTTCCCTAAGTTCAACAAGAACTCTTTACCAACCTGTTGCAGAAGCAACTTCCTCATCAGTGCTTGTCTCTGAACAGCCAATCAACGACAGATTATATGACAAAATGTCCTGGAACAACTGTTTTCGGCTAAGTGTATAGTCTTGTACATGCTGCCTAAAATAAAAGAACAGCACAAAAGACAGGCATGTATTTATCTAATCAAGAAACCATGGCTTTCTCTAAAGGTCTTTTCCAAATAAAAGTCACTCACCACTGACAATCATCATCATTACATGTCCCTGTTAAATCAAATCGGCAGAAACACTGCTCTGGCTCAATCATGTTACTGTATGACACTGAACTCAGGGGAAGCTTTTCCTTGGTTCGATAATAAGGACTAAATCTAGAAAGAAAATGAATAAGCACATTATAGTCCACACACATTTCTTACGAAATTTTTCTTAAATTTTCTTTCTCAGTTAAAACTTCTACACCTGTTTACCTAATCAAATCAACACCCAAAAAACTACAACTAGCCAGAATATAAGTAAAAAGAATCAGCTACTTTTACAATGGGAATATGAGAAACATCACATAGAAAACTGAGTGAGGTGGTGCCTAACTGTTTCTCAGCATTTGAGAGGCTAAGTTCAAAGAAAGCCAAGCTGATGTAAGAAGGCTCCACCTCTTTAACAATAAAGACCGGGGAAGCATTCAGTGGTAGAGTACCTGCCTCATATGTATGAGGCCCTAAGTTCAATTCCTAGTGCAAATAAACAGCAACCACCAAAACACTTTAAAACTAGAATACAGAATAATGCCATTTTAAAGTTTTTTTTCTACCACACAATAAAATGCTGTCTACTAATATTTTTTGTATATACCAGCTGCTGCCTATTAAGTGCTTTATAATTTTATCATAAAACCATACCCGTTTAGCAGCCCACAACTTCTAGCATTCTGAAAATGTTGCGGGACAACATTAGCCCTCTAAGACTGTCTAAGTTAACATTCCAAAGGCTGGTCAATGCTAAAATTAAAAAGTCTAAAGTTAACATCTTTACTGTCCAGGAATGGTAACACACACCTATATATTATGTTGTAGCACTTGGAAGGCAGAGGCCAGAGGTTTACTTTAAGTTTGAGGCTAAAAACAAGTTCCAGTGCAGCCACAGCTATGTAGTGAACATCTACCTTAAAAAATAAAAATAAATATATTTCCCAGGAGACTCTAGTCCTATAATACTCAACAGAATTTGAGCCCAAAGAACACACTAAACTGCACTTTCTCATATGATTTGAACAATAACAATACACATTTTTGTCTCTCATAAAAAGATTTGTTTTCCAATTGACTTGTCATCCAAATGCTTCTATTTATTAATACATATTCATCAAGGCCAGAAGTAACCCTGAAACTCAAACTACTAACTATCTTACTGATACCTGTAGGACTTAAAGACTAGAAGAGGGCTCTGGTAGGGTCTAAAAGGACATGGCTTCACTTCAGTTGTTTTAGTCTGCGCTGTAAGAAAATCCACATCCACAGAAATCTCCTGCAAAAAACAACCATCACAATAATTCCACACGACAAGTGAGGCATTGAGTAAACTCTAGATTTTATACAGAGTTTGAAATGCCACTTACCTGACCGTGCAAAGTCTTTTCTGTAATGCCTGTGGTAGTTTTTAAAATCAACTGCTTTAAGCTGTCAGCTTTTGAATATAATTTCTGCAATTCGCCAATTTTTAACCCTAGAAAAAGTTCTGGCTTTTCTACAGTACTTTTATTGAGTTTGTTTATGCACTCTTTGTTAGGGGTGTCAGTGTGCTTAAGGTTGGGCTTAGTAAACGCATTAGATTCTAAGAAGGATCTTCTTCGTTCTCTGTTTGAACCTGACAAAACTTCATCATCAACATCATTTTCTTCTGTGTCCAAGGTTAATTTATCTTGTGTCAGGTCATGAAGTGAGGGCTGAGGTAAAGAAAACTCAGGTTCCTCTTCTACAACTGGAACAAGATTTTGTTGTTCCTTTGCTTTAAGGGCTCGGGCTTCTTTTAACTTTTGAATTTTCAAGGCATATTCATATTCTAGCTTTTGTAATCGTCTTTTTTCCATAGCAATTAATTCTGCTGAATGCTTTCTTGGACTTGATATTGGAGAATTATCCAATCTCATCACTTTGTTTGGCTGAGGAGAAAGAAAATATTTCATAGCACTTCATGCAATCATACACAATTACTCACAAGATAATTGTAATATCACTAGAATGTAATACTACCATCACAAAATTGAACTGACAAGGAGAGCCAAACAATTTAAAAAGTCAACATACTTTTGTTAGTTAATTTGTGACAATCAAAAACTAAAGCCAATGCAAAATAAATTTTAAAAGCATCCAAAAATGCAGGTATCATCTTAAAATATACACTAGATTTTATAGAGAATCTCTTCTCTTTGAATTGGCAGCAAAGTTGAAGTTACTTTATGCATCTCTTAGTTTATAAATACCATTAAAACAACCAAAATAAAAAAAAATTTTTGTTCCAAAAATATTCCTATAAGCAACTTACTCCAAGGCGATCTTGTTCCAGTTTGCGTTTCCCTAGTTCTTTACTGGCCACTGCCTTTGCCCGAGCAAGTTCTTCTCCATACCTCAGAGTCAAAGCTTTCTTAATCGAAACACGCTGTTGAACTCTGTGAATCTGAACATGGAACACATATAAATGAAGATCTTAGCAAATATCCTCTCAAACAAAATATCCTAATAGCATGTCTCAATAAGAGACCACAGGTTACATATATGTTGATGTTAGTATAAGTTCAATTTTTCCCCCTTTGCTTTAGAGGGAAAACACACGGGAGGTGGCGGGGGTGGACTGAGAGACTGAGACTGTAAAAATATTCATTACTGGGGCTGGAGAGATGGTTCAGCAGTTAGATTTTTCCAGAAAACTGGAGCTCAGTTCTTAGCACCCAAGCTCGGCAGCCCACAACCTCCTGTAACTCCAACTCCAAGGGATACAATGCCATCGGATCCCAGGAAACACCAGCACACATGTGGTAGACACGAGACGTGAACAATGCAGTAAACAAAAGACTACAATACTTAATTTTTAAACAGAGCATTACTTGTTCTTGAAGCTTCTTCAAAAACACCCTGTTAACACTGAGGATTTTCTCGGCTGCTTGAAGTTGTTCTGTAAGTTTTGTAATTTTTGCTTCGGCATTTCGAACAGACTCTTTCTTCTTGGCTTCTTGTAGTACTAGATTCTTTAAAACTGATTCATCCTTTATCAAGAGGATCCTAAGTGGTAAATAACAAAATTCTTAGTTTTCTAAAGTAGTAGACTGACACCATCAGACCATAAAGATTTCAAAGTAATAATACAGTGATACATTTAAAGAATTTTTTATCTTACATGCAAATAAGAATTTGAAGGAGGCAACTCTGTTCATAAACTGAAGACGAATCTTACATGTTATGAAATAGTTTAGCACAAGACAAATATATACCAACATCAAATACACTTATGCAACTTCCAGAGAATGTTGTACTCAGAACACTTAATATCTAATTATCTTGTTCAAAAAGAACATATATCTGTATATAAAACCTCCTACCGTCTTGCAGTGCTCCTGTTGCTTTAAAAAATTCACAATTACATTCATTTGCATGATTCACAAAAAGAATACCAGAGTCTGAAATGTTAGAAATGAGGCTATGAACACCTACTCTTCTTACTGACCTACAGATGAACACATAAAAGCTTGTCTTTAAAAAGTCATTGGGCTACTTAAATATAAACTAATTACAAGTTAATTCAGGAGCCAGTCACCACGAGCATTATTCAATAGGTCAGATAAAAACTACTTTCAACAATGAAGTCCACCTTTAATAATATGTAAACAGGACCGTGACACATGCCTATATAACCCCAGCATTCAGGAGACAGAGGCACATATCTACACAACAAATTTCAGACCAGTGAGTACTGCATACACCTCAAAAATACTCACACGCACACACACCCCACAATATCAATATTTTCTCTAAAAAGTAAAACTACTTCCAATGAAGATGTTCTAAACGATTCTAAAATGAGGAAATTCACAAATAATTTTAGCTATGTTTCAATATGACAACCTTCCTTTTTAGGTCTTGGTACCACTAATCAAAATATTAAATTATATAAATGTGTAATCCAATAGAACGAGTAACTGGTATAGTTCTACCATGTGTAAGAAATCAGGATCCAGGGGTTGTCTAGCAAACTTCCCCTCATACATTGACGCTCCTGTCCAGGCACCAACATAGCCCTGTATAGAAGTTTTAAGACTTTAGTGGGGAGGGAGTGTAACCTGTCTTCCCCTGATGGCGGGGTGGTCGTAGTGGGGTGGGGTAGGCCATAATCCTAGGGTAGTTAATAACAGCATATACAGATACAAATACGAATAGAGGCCCTCCCATCCAGGCACATTTAGATACTTATTTAATCAGACACTAAGTGAAACTCACTTGTGTTTTTTGAGCTTTGCTTCTGCATCTGCAACTTGCTTAGTAACCATTGCTATTCTACTAATCCCATCCATTTCCACATCTGAGTTCGCTGGGGATGATGAATTCGTCTTCAGCTGATCTGATTTAATCAAACGCTGTTTCTCACGACTAAATTTGAGAGAGATGAATTAGGCCAAAGAGTACACCAAAACCATGTTCTTTAAAATATATTTTTATAGAATGCATGTAAATGACATTGACTCAGGCTGGCATTCCAAGCTAACACTGCAGTTCTGTGACTTTGTCGCTGTATTTAAGTTGATAGATGGTAATCAACCTCCCCATGTGGAAGTCATAGTATCATCTTCCTAAACAGGATAGAATCACCATTGCTCATATGCCAGAGTCATGGTTTCTAGACATAAAAACCTCCTTACTTGGCAATCTCTTCCTTCAGCAAACGATATTCAATCTTCTTCTCCTCGGGCAAAGCTTCAGGTGTCCGCAGAGGGTCGTTTTCTTTTTCAGATTTTGGAGGTACTTTGGGTTTTGAAGCTTGCTAAAAGTATTTAAATCAACCAGATCAGCAGCTTTCAAAGCTTCTACACTGGTATTTACAGTTCATGTTTCACCTCAGTATATACTAACATATTTAGAAATATATTAATATCTTTACTCTTCTTTTGAAAAAATATAGAACCTAGTTGTCAACTACTCAATTATATAATCTACCTTCAAAACCTCCCTCCTTTAAAACTATTGAACTGAATCATATCTGACCAACCACTGGAACAGAAAAAACCCTGAAAGTGCTTAAACTATAGATTTTATTAGTTGTAAACTGGTGTTTTGGTTAACATAATACATTATTGGAACAGCACACTTCCCATTTTACTATTTTGAAAAAGGAGTGGAAGGGACTTTTCAAAACCATAAAAATCTATGTTATCAATAGATGCTTGATTATTTAAGTACTAAAAGCATAAATACTTTTCCCACAATAAAAATGGCTTAACTCTAAGATCTCATTTTTCAGGAACAAAATGAACTTTAACCATTGCCAACACATACATCAACTGTCTTTCATCATTAATTATAGCACATACCTCAGCAGTTCGCCTTGCTTCTTTGATCATGGACTCTAATCCACCAAAAACACTGTTGGTTGCCTTGGAAGTCTCCCCATCAGACTCACTGTCATCTGAATCATTCAGTGTCACAACCACTGATTTATGTTTTGGAAGCTACAAAACAATGTAACTGTTACCCATGGTAATAAGAGCTTCTGAGGCCAGAAAAGGGCATTCAATTTCCCAGAGTCAGTTACAGATGGTTTTGAGCCACATAACATGGGTCTGAAAACCAAACTCTGGTCCCTACAAAAGCAGTGAGCACTCATAGCCACTGAGCAGTCTCTTCAGCACCCAGAAAAAGCATTTCTATTCTTTATTACTCTGTGACAATTCAAACTCTCTGTATATCAACACACAAAAATAACCACGCACAGTGGCATTTTCTGGTTACATTCTATGATTATAGCCTCAATGTGAGTTATAATCCAAACTAAAAAAGCAGTCTACATTTTTGTCTTTCCAGACATTACTATAATCATCTTCTTCAATATTTTTTCTACAAAGACACTACCATTTAAATTAACCTTTAAGAAAAAAATTTTAACACCCAAAGAGAAGAATGTTTGGATATTCATTCATTAAAATGACACCAGAAAAGATTGAAAATGGGCCAATTTATAATCTTTAAGAAGAGCAGAGGAAAAAATATCTACCACACTCTGAGAAGAGTGCAACTTCAAACACATCATCACCAAATTCTACCAATTTTCAAGTGCACATGCTGCTCTTACTTCAAACTTCTTTAAGTTTTTTTTTGGTTTTTTGAGACAGGGTTTCTCTGTATTGTTTTGGAGACTGTCCTGGAACTTGCTCTGTAGACCAGGCTGACCTCGAACTCACAGAGATCCACCTGCGTCTGTCTCCCGAGTGCTGGGATTAAAGGTGTGAGCCACCAAAACCCGGCTTCTTTAAGATTTTTAATTTGTATTTATATAAGAATTTATTTTTGTATATAAATGAGCTAGACAGTGAAGACAGGACAGTAAAATTATTTTTAAAAACCTCTCATAGGCTGTTGAACAGTATTGTCTTATGTTTGTTTTTACCGAGATCACAGTTCGTGGAAGACGAGGTCCTCTGTGAAACTTTGGATTCTGTATCCTAGGCTGAGATACTGTATTAATACTGACTATGGATAGATTGCTTCTTGACAAAGGCTGAGAATTGTTCAGAACTGGAGGTGAAGGCGGGTCGCTATTACTGGACGCTTCCTATTAAGAAAAAAGATAAACATTTCCAAATAAAAAGATGTGTCTGTCATCTTGAGAAATCTTGAGTAAAATAGCATTGGACTTAGCTTTGCTGAAAAACCTATTAAACCCTCATACAGGCAGACAAAAGTAGAACCATCCTAACCATAGGTGTGAGTGCACCACCTAGAGGTTCAGGCACTGAATTACCTCTGGCTTAAAAGCTCTCTTGTTTGCTAGAGATTTAAGCAATTCTTCTCGAAGGAGCATTTCTTCCTCCTCCTCTTCATCTGCAAAAGGTGGTTTTGGAGGCTGTTCTGGGTCTTCAGGCGGTAGAGGTGGCAAAGGCGGTGGAGGAGGTAGAGGCTCAAGAGAAACACACAAGCCTTCTCCATAAGGCTGGCTCAATGATGGCACAGACTGTTTTAGTAAGGAAATAATACTGTTAAATGCAAATTTTATTAACTTCAAGCATGTCTGAAGCAATATTTAATCAGAAAAAGTATATAGTCTTAGTTTTAATTTTTCTATGTACACTGATGTAAATATTAAGTATAACTCAAAGCCTATCCAGAATTTAATATTCAACCATGAAAATGTTACTTTTGCAATTAATGTCTGAAATATTTATGAATTCCATAGTAATTATACAAATATAAAGAACTCCGCTCCTACCCTTATCTACATTTAAAATTCTAGAAGGTATAAGAATCAAATCAGATGATATCAAGTCAAAAACGACACTAAAACAAAAATCATATATATAAGTTAAAGCACATATGTATTTGTAGACAACACCTCACTATGCAGCCCTGACTGGCCTGAACTCACTATGCAGGCCAGGCTGACCTTGAACTCCAAGATCTGTCTGCCTACTCCTCACAAGCACTGGGACTAAGGTCATGCGCTAAATTAAAACGATTAACAAACTAAAATATGTGCTAATAAAAAAATTTAAGTAGCATTAAAGTCAAAGGGATCATAAAAATAAGAGCCCAGAGTACCTGTTCAGCATCCCTTAAAATCCTTGTAAAAATGGCTTGATATACTGTAAATCCCTTGTCTAGATGCTTTTGCTTCAAAGACATTCCAGGAATTCTCCTCAATTTTAGTTCATTCATTCCTTGTTCCCAAAAGACAGCATTGCAATCTCCTCACCATAAACTCTATTAGAAAGCACCACACGTTTACCAGGAAAATTTCAATGGAAAGGTTCTCGTACCTAGTAGGAGATACTGTTTCATATCTAAATGCTCTCAATTCAGAACCTCTGTTTTGTGATTCCTCACTTTTTTTTTTAAAGCTGAGTTGATATCTCCCACAGTGGAGGCAGGCACCTTTAACCCCACTGCTCAGAGGCCAAGGCAGGCTGATCTCTCTGAGGTCATTCTCATCTAAACAGTGAGTTACAGGCCAGCCAAGGATATAGAGTGAGATCCTGTCTCAAAACAGTAACAGCGCAATAGACAGTTCTTTAGATCAGTGATGCTCAGTGGGTTAAAGCAGGTACCCAGAACCCAACTGGTAGAAGGAGCAAAACAAGGCAGTACTCTGACCTCCACATGTGTACATGCACGTGTGCACACACACAAGCATTTTTGAAAGGAAATAAAAGACTTAATTTCTATAGATAATGTTTCTTTTGTATGATTTTCCAAAGAGGAGTAAGCCTATTTAAATTTTCCTAGCACTTCAAAGACAGAGGCAGGAGGATCTCTGTGAGTTTGAGGCCAGCCTTATCCATATAGTGAGTTCTCCAACACCCAGGGCTATGTAGAGACCTTGCCTTAAAAATAAAAAATAACAAACAAACTAAAAAGAAAAAAACAATTTAAAAAAATCCACAGAAGTAGACAATTTTTATTCTGCTTTGTAACACATTTCCTGAGTAGCAATTATTTGAGAAACAAAGAAAAGGAAGAAATGAAAATGGCTATAGTTTAAAAAAAAAGCAGTGGATAGTCAATCAACTGCTTAATTTTGCAAATTTCTAGCTATTAATTCTAGTAAGTGAATATTAATTTTTAAGCACCCTTCAAACCAAGCAATCATGCCAGTTTTCCAAAACAAGCTAGAAGATGCACAGTAATTGTCTTTGAAATCCCGCTTGATCTTTACTTACTGAAACCTGAGCTGGTGGAGGCAAAGAAACAGATGGTGTTGAAGAAAAATACCCCAATGAACACTCAGAGAAAAATGGTGGCTGTACTGGTGAAGGCGCTGTTTAAAAGAAAAAAAAGTTTGAGTAAAATACTTCAAAAGGGACATATAAAATGCATAGGTAGCTTGAGGAAACATATACCTAGGCAGAATACAAATCAGACATTAGAAGTTTATGATAAAATCCTAAACCTCTATTCATCCTTCTCTAACTATATAAAATTGTTCTTGCATCATAAAGTTAAATGTGACCTTTAGGGTGGCACTTTAATTCCTCAAAATTCACTTTCTGTTAGGCACTGTAACATGCGCCTATAATCAGATTATCAATCTCCTAAGCATTTCAATTTCTAAAAGTCAGATGTACTGTTTTTCTGTCTCAGGTGCAGGTGTTTAGTATTAGTAAGGAAATAGTTCTCACACGGTCAGTCATATCTGAGTATCCATCAAGAAAAACTGCCTGAGCTGGGCATAGTAGCTTACAGCTTTAATTCCAGCATTCATAGAATCATTCCACAACTTTCCCATTTTAGATCAATTGCTCAACAGAGTTCAAACAAAGCTTTTTAATTTAAAGCCTTCTCAAGGAAAAAACACTTGGGTCTGGAAAGATGGCTCAGAAGTTATAGAGCACTGACTGCTCTTCCAGAGAACCCGGGTTCAATTCCTAGCAACCACATGGCAGCTCACAACTGTCTTTAAGTCCAGGATCCAACACAGGCAAAATATCAATGCACATAAAATAAAAATAAATAAAAAGAAAATCACACTTGAAAATAAACGTTAAAACAATACATCAGCAAATCTTACCTCCATTACACATTTCTTTCAAGGTTTTGAGTAACTTAATTGTGATTATCAAAATGTTTCAAAGTTTGGCTCCTACCTGGAGAACTGGTTTCACTATCTGTATCCATGGCAACTTCTTCATAGTTATCATATTGATAAATGCCTCCTCCACTGTCAGGTTGCTTATCTAAAGATCGCCTTAGGTCAGGATCTGAAGACTAAGGACACAACAGTATTTTCCTTAGTTTCAATACAGGTTATTCTTGGGCTACTCAACATAAGAGTTGATAATTATCTTTTAGAGACAAATAAACAAAATTATTATGACTCTATGAGACCTGCCCATGGCAGCAATCTAGAAAAGTGTCTATGGCAGCCAAGTACTATCTGTACAGATGAATTCCACCATTATCTAAGCCATTAAGTAAATGGAATCTCTTTTAAAAAAAATTTACAACAGTTATGCAGTTATGGTTTAGCCATGAAACTAGGAGAAAAAGTCATTTTTGCATTATGATTATAGTACCAGACTATATTTTTTAAAGTCAAGAATAGGAGCTAGAGCTGGGCGTTGGTGGCGCACGCCTTTAATCCCAGCATTTGGGAGGCAGAGGCAGGCATATCTCTGTGAGTTCGAGGCCGGGCTGGTTTACAGAGAGAGTTCCAGGACAGCCTCCAAAACAATACAGAGAAACCCTGTCTTGTAAAACCAAAAGGAAGGAAGGAAGGAAGGAAGGAAGGAAGGAAGGAAGGAAGGAAGGAAGGAAGGAAGGAAGGAAGGAAGGAAGGAAGGAAGGAAGGAAGGAAGGAAGGAAGACAGGAAGACAGGAAGACAGGAAGAAAGAAAGAAAGAAAGAAAGAAAGAAAGAAAGAAAGAAAGAAAGAAAGAAAGAAAGAAAGAAAGAAGACAGAAAGACAGAAAGAAAGAAGAAAAGAAAAACAGAAAAGGAGCTAGGAGAAATGGCTCTGCGGTTAAGAGCACTGGCCAGTTCCCACCCAGCACCTACATCGTAGCTCACAACTGTCTAAGTCCAATGCCTTCTTCTAGTCTCCGCAAGCAAGTGGTACAAGGCATGCACACAGGTAAATATTCATACACAGAAAAGTCAAGAACATTATAGTTACAAATAAAATCAACAGTTTCTGAAAATTATGAACTGTGGACTGGCATGTCTATGTGCCCTGATTTGTTTTTTTTTTTCAAGACAGGATTTCTCTGTATTGTTTTGGGGGCTGTCCTGGAACTCGCTCTGTAGACCAGGCTGGCCTCGAACTCACAGAGATCTGCTTGCCTCTGCCTCTGCCTCTTGAGTGCTGGGATTAAAGGCGTGCCCGGCTCTGGTTTTTATTTCTTATGTTTTACTCATACAGTTTATAACAAAAACAAAACAACAAAAAACTTATGCAGAGATAACACACAAATAATACAATTCTTATTTCTAGGCAATGATTCTATTTGTTAAGTCTTAATTATAAATAATCACAATCCTGGCCTAAAGAAAGCTTCCTCTTGATTCTCTCCTTAACTCTTAACTTTCTACATTTAGCTAGTATAGTTGTGTGTGTGTGTGTGTGTGTGTGGTTTTTTTTTTTTTTTTTTTTTTTTGGATTTACGAGACAGGGTTTCTCTGTATTGTTTTGGAGGCTGTCAGTCCAGCCCAACCTCGAACTCAGAGATCCGTCTGCCTCTGCCTCCCAAGTGCTTGGTCAAATATGAACTCTCCCAGCTTACTTCTCCTTACAGTACCCATAAAGACAATGGCTGACTCAGTCATTGTCAATAACATATATAATGATAATGTGTTAAGACCAAATACGAAATAGCTAAAATCAATAGAGTTAATGCTAAAGGAAGACTTAGTATATTTTAAATTAGTACATACCAATTATTCTCCACATTTCTCACTCTACATGGTAAACAACAAACTACTAATACAATGCTGCCCCTACAAGAAACAGTCATTTTCATAATGGAACCTTACTGTAATTTAATAACCCTTTTTTCTAGATAGAAGATGATCACAATGCTAAAAGCAGAGTAGGGTTGGGAGCTTGTCTGTAAACTTTTTGAGACTGTGTCTCACTAAGTGACTCAAGAGATCCTGAATGTGTTATCATCGTATCTTATCCTCCCAAGTAACTAAGATTATAGGAGCGTTTTGTTTTGTTTTGTTTTGTTTTGGGTTTTCGAGACAGGGTTTCTCTGCAGCTCTGGAGGCTGTCCTGAAACTAGCTTTTGTACACCATGCTGGTCTGGAACTCAGAGATCCGCCTACCTCTGCCTCCTGAGTGCTGGGATTAAAGGCATGCTCCACCAACGCCAGGCTTAAATATAAGCTTTTGTTAAACAAAATTTCAAACTTTTCATTTCTCATAATCTACAACTGTGAGGATTTATTTCCCATTACACCTTACTTTCTTCCCAAGGATTATTTGTAGGGCTGATGGAAGAACCTCAGTAAAAGGCTTCCTGTGCAAACATGAGGATCTGAGTTTGGATGCACAGGACCCAGGTCAAAAGCCAGACGTAGTGATGACACAAACATTTAACACCAGCATGAAAACAGACACATCCCAGAGCTAGACAAGCAGCAAGCTCTAGATGAAAAAGAAGGTTCCATGTTCAGTAAGACCTCATCTCAAAAACAGAAGGTGGAGAGAAGTGACTGAAGAAGACATACTGACATTACCCTGCACCTGAAAGGACAAGCATGCATACACTCCGTGCACACAACACAATTTCTCAACACACAGAGGAAAAGAGAAAGAAAGGCTTCTCTGCATAAACTCTATCAAACATAAAGGATGTACAGTTTTCCTTAGCTAACTGGATCTTTAAAATGATACTAACAAAACATTTAAATATGAACACTCTGGGCCAACAAGATGGCTCAATAGATAAGGGTTAATCTCCATGACCTACTGGTCTCTACTGTGGTACTCGTACTAACCCTTGAATGAATGAGTAAAGACATTTTTTAAGGTTTTGAACATTTCGATGGGATAGTTCTCTATTCCTTACCTTACTTCTTGATCTTCTCTTCCCACCAACCAATTTCATGAATCGATTGTACTGCTCTTCCTGATTGGAAAGGTCTCTAATTTTTCTAATTTCCTCTTCTCGTTTCCTCCTCTCTTCTTCTTCCGCTTGTTTCCGCTGGTCCTCTTCTTTCTGTCTTTCCTGCTCTTTTTGCTGCTGGAGTTTCTTCCATGCCTTTGTTTGCTGCTTCCTCAACGCTTGTTTAGCTTCCCATGAAAAACAGAAATGTCAGCATCCGCAAAACTGAAAGTTAAGACTCTTTAAGGGATAAGACACTTAAGCATTTTCATACTGTTAACTCATATATACAGTTGGTCCTCCCTAATTCTATTTATAACAGGATTAGCATCTAATTTAGGGCTCTGTACTTTCCCAAACTCAAAATTCCTGGATTATAGGGCTGGAGAGATTGCTCAATGGTTAAGAGCAAGAAGACCCAGGTTCAATTCCCAGCTCACCACCATCCAATTCTAGGGGATCTCATATCTTTGTCTGTCTCTGTAGGTACCAAGTATGTACATGGTTCAGACACACATGGGACAAAATAGTCATCACATAAAATGTTTTTAAGTACATTTTGTCACACATTTTCATCATATTCTTTCCCCTCTTTGATTCTACCACCCTTCTTTATGTTTTCATTCATTTTCCCTCCCCATCAAGAAGCTCCAGGACCAAGAGTAGTTGGCCGATACAAAATGGACTCCATGTTGTTTTGTACAATTTTTGCTGGGGGAGTGGCATTTTGGAAACAAAAATTTTTGTCCTATTAGTTTCCTTTTCAATGTTTGTTTTTTGGACGAGAAATATATTAACAAATCTCTGAATTAAAATCAGTTCAACTGAAATAATGTAAGAGAAGCAGTCACCTGTGGTGCTGACTTTCTTGGCTGAATGTGCTTTTGTGCTGGTTTTAGTCTTCTGCTGAACAGCTTTGGTCTTGGTCAGTTTCTCTTTGCTTTCTTTCATTACCTGTTGTTCTTTTTGCTGCCATTTTTTACTTGCTGATTGAAGAGCCAAAAGACGAAGCTGTAATTCAGATAGTTCCTCTTCATCTTCACCAAGTTTCTTTAAAACAGAAAAAAAGTTACAGTTTTTAAATTCTATTAAATTCTAATGTTAACAATTTTACCAAGCTGACTCTTTCACCAAGTTTACTAAAATTTAAAGTTAGTATTAAAACAAATGTTTAAATGGAAAATAAGGATAATTTTTTAAAAACTCATTTACTATCTATAACCCAAAACTAATTTAATTCTTCTAACATAAACAGAAGATCAACTGGTAGAAGTTATCAGCTTGCAGGTAAATATGCAAAGATGAAGCAAAAGAGGAAAGTTAAGAGTTGGGCACCAAGAATCAGGATGATGAAGATGAAGTACTTATCAGACTGCACTGCAAAAAAGAATACCAAGGACCATGTCATAACACCAAGAATGTTAACTTTTCAACATTATTGCAGGTGGAAAAAGATGTACCCACTAGTTTGCATTTGAGTGTTATATGTTCTCAGTATATAATTACCTGAATTTTGAAATTTTTGAATACTTATTTGTCATCAAAGAAACTAAAACAGGGTATCTTAAAAGCCTTTCTCACTAAAGTAACTTCCTATTATTTTTCACTCTATCTTTCAAATTTTTAACTGCTACATAAACACTATACAAACTGATAGGTACTTGTGCTGTTTCAGTATTGCCTATACTGTAACACTTAAGCCAGTTCCAATTATCACAAGCATTTTCTTTCTTATTTACAATGAAAACACTGAAAATCATGTCTCTCTGGCCACTCTAGAACAGCCCACCAGAACTTATTACTAATTAGAACCTGAAATGGCTCTAGAAAATTAGCCTGCTCTATACACTTTCACTGAAAATACCAAGCCACTTTAAGCAGAAGTTCTTAAGTATTCATGGATCTGAGAGGTTTGGGAAATTCTTTTAAAGATATGAAGCAGTACAAGAAATAATTTCATATCCCATACATTAAGACACACTTAACTTTTTCTAATTGATATTGTCTAATTATATTTTCCTTAAACTCCAATTCTTTTTAACAATAAGGATAACAGTGAATGCTAGCTAATGACTTCACCTTTCCACTGTTAAAAACTCTTAATAATCACATTTGTTCATTGATTTGTTTGTTAGTCTCAGCTCACTGTGCAGCCAAGCTAGCCATGAATGCTTATCTGAACTCACTAGACAGCTCAGGTTAACCTTGACTTCACAATCCTTCCAGAATCTATCTCCTGACTGCTGAGACTACAAATCTACACTACTACCACAATGAGTTCTAAATAATGTATACAGATACCCTCAGAGACCAGAAAGAGGGTGTCAGATCCCTGAAGCTGGAGATACAGGTAGCTCTGAGGTGCCCATGAAAGGTGCAGAGAACCAAACCTGGGTCCCCTAGAAGAATACCAAGAACTTTTGACTGCTGAACCATCTCTCTGGCTCCACATTTTAAATTTCAAGTTCTTAAAAACCATGTGTGTCATTACTCATAATTATCATACTAGATAGTACAACTATAAAGATTACTTTATGAAACTATTTCCCTTATAATGAAACAAAAATATAACTGATTCTGTCATACAATTATATTTGGTACTTGAAGTAGATTCTCAAAACCAAGATAACTGAAATAGGGGACAAAGGATCTCACTAAGTTCTTGCCCTGATATCTAATTCTTATGCAAATTAAGTCATTTAACCTACACAAATGTATCTTTTTTGTTTTGTTTTGTTTTTACGAGGCAGGGTTTCTCTGTATTGTTTTGGAGGCCAGCCCAGGCTCAAACTCACAGAGATACGACTGCCTCTGCCTCCGAGTACTGGGATTAAAGGCGTGCGCCACCAACGCCCGGCTTACACAAATGTATCTTGCTTCTCCTACGAAACATGCATGTCAACGTACTGCATATGGTTATTGTAAGGATATTAAAAAGCAAATATTTATGAGTGTGGGTGGGGTCACTGTCACATTATCCTTCCTAAATTCAGATCTTTCCTAGACTTTTTGAATCACTTCAGTTCACTCATAACAACAAACTGAAATCCCAAAAGAAGAAACTGCAAGTATTTCAGATCTATAATAAAGAAAAAGCTTGAGTTACTCAATATGTAGCATACACTGTTTGACACTTCTGTACTTTCTTCTATTAGGGCCTCACAACAATTCAGAAAATGTAAGAGATAAAACTCATTTTATAGAAAACAGAGGAACACAAAGGCCAAAGATCTCACTCAGCTAGTATTTTTTTCATTTAGTAAGAAAAGGAGGTAAAATGTGATTCCAGGTCAAGTTCTACCTAATTCGAAAACATCCCATATAGGATGAAACACACACACAGGAAGATAAACTCTGAATCAAAATTAAAAGTTTCAAAAATGACAAACAGATCACCTACAGATATGAACTGTACATTAAGTTAATAAAGTTATAGACGTTAGTGGAAAGAAACTCTAAGATAATTCTCCAGAACGTCAAAATAATTTCAAATTAATAGACTAAAAGTTGGGTGTGGTAGCCCACACTAGTACTCCCAGTCATCAGGAAGTAAAGGCAAGTTTGAGACCAGTCAGAGTTACATGAGATCAAGTCTCTAAAATGAATCAAACAAAAGAACAGACTACAGCAAAACAAGTACAGGTCATACGGATTTTCAATCCCAGAAATCAGTATCTTACCTTTTCAGATAGAATATCTGAGGTACTAATTCTTCTTGTTAAATTTTGTTCTTTATCTTCTAATCCTTTAAAACAAAATAGCATCTTTTGAATATTCTAAAATACAGCCACAATTAATCCAAAATGGACATAGCAGTATACAATAATCAGGAATTATTTCACAGGGTTTCATTATTATGGTCTTGTTTTCATGACTCTCAACCAAAATTGAAGAACGCGACTAAAAAGAAGGAAGGACTGAAGAAATATCTTAGTCCATAAAATGAGAAGCCGAGTTAGATCCCTAAAACCACATATAAATCCAGGAGTAGTAACTTGCATTTGTAATCTCAGCACTGTAAAGATGAGACGGAATGACAGCTGGTGCTGACTAGCCTGCCAGCCAGCAATGGTTGAGCTCTGGTCTCAGTAAGACCACAAGCTGGATGATCATCCTAAGGAACAGCCAAAATTGACACACACAGGAAAGAACGAACACACACAGACAGGCAGACAGGCAGGCAGGCAGGCAGAGAATGAGAATGCGAATCTGACCAAGCTTGTAACATCAGCCTCATTCTAAAAGTTATAGGGCATGTGATTCAAGTATTAAATAACATACTTTGATAAAATAGCTTTAGAACTAAAAATAATTATTTAGAATAGGAACAGAAGCTATGGAGCAGATAAATAAAGCAAGGCTTCATTACCAAACAGAAACCACAATACCAAACTATTATAATGAAAATAAAAATGAACTTGCTATTTAAAATTATAGGTTTATGTATGACCAGGTTAACCATCCATTTAGAAGAACACAGCAGGAGCAGTTTATGTAGACCCAGACTTCTAGAGTACTGTCCCAAACTGTCCCTCCACATTATTCCATGTATAACAGTTTTAGAGATCATATAGTAACAGCAGCTATGGCAGTTAACGAAATTCAAACTCAGAGTTGCAGGGCTGAATTTCAAGCCTAGTATTTTATGCCCCCCCATAATAAATGCAGCTTATTCAATAAACAGTAATTAATCAAGTACCCTAGGCAAAGCAAAGCAAACAGGAGGTAATCATAAAATCTGAGACAGATTCGTTTTCCTCTAAGACTAAAAAAAAAGGTATTCTAGTCAGGCCAGGTGGCCCAGACCTGAAACCCAGCTGCTGCGAAAGCTACGGCAAGAAGGATCACAGGTGTAAGGCCTGCCCGGATACCAAGTGAGTTCAAAGACAACCTGGACAACTCAGCAAGATTCTACTTCAAAATAGATAGTACAAAGCCGGTTAGGAGTATAGCTCAGTGATAAGAGAGCTTGCTCGGCATAGACAAGCCCTGAGCTCCATCCTGGTACAGAAATAAGAAGAGGAAAAGCTTATTCATTAGAAAATGAATGGTGGATTAGAACACTTTGAAAGCTAGGAGTTTTAGATTACTTGCCTACCTTGTGTGAGGTTCATGGCACTATCCTCAGTAGAGGAGGAAGACAGGAAGAGGAAGAGGAAGAGAAAAAGAAAGAGGAGAAAGAAGAAGTAGAGGAGAGGAAAATAAAAGGAAAAGAAATAACTTAGCCCAACATAAATCTCACAATCACCTGTGCATGGTTTTCATCTCAAATAAGAGAATATATAAAACAGAAAGAAAATATATAAAACTGTGCCCAAGTGATCTGAGTCACATAAGAATACAAACACACCCTTCTAATACACCGGAATCTCACTGTGTTAATTAGCTATGGCATTCACACCTGGTGCTACAGCTCACCATCTGTCTTCAACAACGCTCCTTGTCCTACAGTAAACACTTCCAAGATTTGACCTCTACAAGTACTTCTTTCAAAGTTAGGTGACATATTCATTACAGTACACTGCATCTAAAAATTCTCAGTGTGTAAAAAAATGTATTACCATTTTTCTGAGATCACTATCTTTTTTTCATGAACCACTAATAAAAATTGTTCAGTAATTGTTTTAAAAAGGCATATGTATTTAATCCCAGCACTTCGGAAGCAGGAGCTGGCAAATCAAGGCCAGCCTAGTCTATGGAGACAGTCCCTAGAGTTACTTGATGAGACCCTGTCTCAAAAATTAAAGACACATGTACCATTATAATCAAATTAATCACACATCAAAGTGACATCAGACAAAACTAAACAGGCTGAGCACTAGATTTTCCTCCTATTTAAGAATCCCAAGTTTCATAAGGCTTCTATGGAAAGTGGGAGAAGCCTCCTTTAACGAGGACAGGAGCAGTCAGTCACCTATTAGAATGTACCTTCTGAGCCAGCACAGCAGTAAAACCATTAACCAGGAGTTTCAGACCTAATGTTTTACATAGACATTTTAAATATAGATCAGTGTTTAAACTAACCTTGTGATTAGTTATGTACTATCCTGATATGTCTATCCTCCATCATTATTCCAAAGGCATGGGGAAAACGTCTCACTGTGTGGCCAAAACTGGCCTTAAACTTCAAAGTCCTCCTACCTCCAACTCCAAGTGCTAGAATCACAGATATTGCACTGTCATACCTGCTATTATCTATGTGAACTGGTCTTACATAGCTACCAAGTAGCTACATCTTACTCCTGGCATTGCCTGTAAGCTGGAATCAGTACACATTTGTTATATATAGTTTTACTATGTTAAGGTTAAAACCTTCCTTTTTAATTAGACAAAAAGGGGGAAACACTGTAGAATAATCCTTCTGTATACTGTGAATATATATTACAGTTATTGGTTAATAAAGAAATGATTGACTATAGCCAGGTAGGCAGGACAACCAAACTAAGGATGTTAGGAAGAAAGGCAAAGTGAGGAGTCACCAGCCAGACATAGAGGAAGCAGGACCTGTACGAAATGAGGTAACAAGCCATGAGCCATGTGGTAGAACTAGTTCCAGGACAGCCTCCAAAGCCACAGAGAAACCCTGTCTCGAAAAACTTAAAAAAAAAAAAGCAAGATAAACAGTAGGGAAGAGGCAGGCATATCAAACAAAGTGGTCACAAACAAAAAGGGCTTTGCTTCCTCTGAGTGGAAGAATTTAAATAGGGGTAGTTTTGTAATTTTTTTTTGTTTTTGTTTTTTTGTTTTTCGAGACAGGGTTTCTCTGTATTGTTTTGGAGCCTGTCCTGGAACTCGCTTGGTAGACCAGGCTTGGTCTCGAACTCACAGAGATCCACCTGCCTCTGCCTCCCGAGTACTAGGATTAAAGGCATGCGCCACCACCACCCGGCAGTTTTGTAATTCTAAAAAAGCAGCTAGAGAGAAAGATGGCATGCAACACAATTGAGGTGGAGGGGTTTTACTAGGGAAAGGATCTAAGAAGGGTAAAGGGGAGGAGGGAGACCCACCTCCAGGGACAGGAGCAGCAGGAGAGAGGAAGGGGGAAGGGGATGCAGAGAGGGAGTGAGGGAGATGGGAGGTGGGCGGGGCCCTTTTAAAGGGGAACACAGTGAATATGCACACATGCTTCTTAGTGGCTACAACTGAGGGCTTATCCTGTCAGAACCAAGGACAGGCCAGTACAGATGCCTAAATACTAACAGTACGTTTATATAGAAGTAAAACTGGATAATAAAAAGAAATCTATAATCAACACTAAACACAGGAAAGGAACGAGCTAGATTGCCTTCAAATTGAATATCCTTAAGACGGATAGCTGGCTTTTCAAAATCAACACTATAAATGAAACTATCTTCAGCATGGTGAGAATAGCCAGCATAGAACTCTAATTCAGGGTAAAAAATACCTTTGAAAGTTTTGGGGACAACGAGATGGTTCATAGGGTAACACACATGCTTCACAGCCTGGCATTCCCAGTTCAATCCCCAGAACACACATAAATGTGGAAAGAGAAATGACTCCACAAAACTGTCCTCCAACTTCTACCCATGCACTAGCTACAGCACATGTGCGAACCTGTGTGCACCACACAACTATGCTGCCCTTATCAGGAGTCCTGGTGCACACTATTTTCTTGGGACATTAAGGCAGGAAGATCACTAGGGATAAAGAGTTCATAGCCAGCCTCAGCAGCATCAATACTCTCTACCAGAGTGGAAAACTTTTAATAAAACTTAACTAATAGATTGATCAAAATATAAAGATGCAGGAATAACTTAGTCATCCAAAGTTTTCCTAGCATATGCCAGGCCCTATGTTCATTTCCAATGCTACAAGACTTAAAAACAATAATATCCCAGAAAAGCAAACAAACAAACCTCCATTTAAACCCAGGCATTTTACTGGCAATATCCACTACATATTCCAGGTATGATTCTAGTCTTAAACTACCCCATAAAAGAACTTAGAAACCATCCTCAATTCATTTTAAGGGTATCAGAATCACACATTAAAATTTAGCAAGGAAAACAGGGTAGGGTGTAATTAAAGGTTAGGAGCACAAATGAGCCTCTAGTCAACCTCTATTTATATTAAAATACAAATGTCCCTCTATCATATGCATTAACTATTATAGAATCATACATAGGAATACCACTCAATTAAAAAAGGAATGAATTAGTAATATACAAAACTACATGGATGAATTTCAAACAGTGTGCTAAGTGAAAGGCCTAGGAAAAGAAGGCAGACCTGCTGGTTCCAGTCCGCAATCCCAGTGACTTGGGAAACTGAAGCAAGAGAATCACAAGTTCAGGGCTACCTTGAGCAACTTAGTGAGACACTGACTATTTCTATTACAAAAAAGAAAGTAAAGGCGAGTCTCACTGAGTGATAAAATGCTTACTTAGTATGTGTGAGGCCATAGGTTCAATCTTCAGTACCACCGACAAGTAAACAAATACATAAATAAAATAAACTGTATGACACCATTTATGTTACTCTGGGGAACTCTGGAGCAGGTCAATGATTAATTAACAGGTGAACTAAAGATTAAGAGCCCTGTTAAGTATTAAAGGAATAGGGATAACAAGATGAGTCAGCAGGTAAAGCGCTTGTCCTACAAGTCTGCTGATGACACACTAACATCATAACCACATACCAAAAATTATTATAATAAAAAGGTATGAATCCTAATTGTATGGTTGGTGATGATTATCAATTATTCAACTGTCAACATTAGTCAAAATTTGGAGGAACTATATACTAAAAAGTATATTTTAGTGCATATAAATTATATGTTAGTAAAGAAAATACTAAGCAGGAATTTTAAAAGCAACATATATAAACTAGTCCAGGTATAGAAAGGTACTTAAACACTACAAAAATCAATTAATATGTTATACTAAAGAAAATTTAAAACTCACTAATGACAGAAAAAGATGGTTGTGCTATGGCTTTGCTCTTTTGGCTTTTTGGCTCTTTTGCGGCTGGAGGGGGCACTACCTAGTTCCAAAATAACTCACATATGGAGGTTTAGTTATGAATGCTCGGCCTTAGCTTGGCTTGTTTCTAGCCATCTTTCCTTAAATTCTGCCATCTACCTTTTGCCTCTGGGCTTTTATCTTTTTGTTTCTGTAAATCTTACTTTCCACTCTTACTATACAGCTGGGTGGGTGGCTGGTTGGCTCCTCTCGTTTGTTCGTTCTCTCCTTGTTCCTCGAGCCTTGTTTCTCCTTCTATTTATCCTCTCTGCCTGCCAGCCCCGCCCATCCTTGCTCCTGCCTCACTATTGGTCATTCAGCTCTTTATTAGGACCATCAGGTGTTTTAGACAGGCAAAGAATCACAGCTTCAGAGTTAAACAAATGCAGCATAAACAAAAGTTGAGACAGGGTTTCTCTGTATTGTTTTGGAGGCTGTCGGACCAGCCCGGCCTCGAACTCACAGAGATCCGCCTGCCTCTGCCTCCCGAGTGCTGGGATTAAAGGTGTGCGCCACCACGGCCCGGCCAAAAGTCACACATCTTAATAAAATATTCTACCACAAAGGATGGCTAAACTTCAAAATCTATTCACAATTTTTAAAACTTCAAACTAAGAATGGGGGAGAATTTTTTCTTTCTTTATCCAATAAATCTTAAAAACAGAAATTGTCAGGTGGTGGTGGCGCACGCCTTTAATCCTAGCAGTCAGGAGGCAGAGTCAGGCAGATCTCGGTGAGTTCGAGAGTTCAGGGCCAGCATGTTCTACACAGGGAAATCATATCTCAAAGAAAAAAGAGAAAACCTTACAAAACACTAAAGCATCATGCTTACTGGAAAATTTCCTTTCATTAGGAAACAAAGAAAGGTGCCCACTACTGTCCCTTTTATTCAACACATTTTTAAGTCCAAGAGAGCAGATTAGCAGAAGTCAGGAATTGTGGCACACCCCTGCAATCCCAACACTCAGGAAGCTGAGATGGACTGATTAAGTTTTAGGTCAGCACGGATCACTACAAGGCATGTTTCAGGGCAGCCTGGACTAGAGTGAGACCCTGCCTCAACCAAAATATTTAGTAAACAAAACTTAAGTTATAATAAAAACCTATGATAAAGGCACAAAAGAATTTATAGATAATTGGGTCCTTTTAAGTACTTTAGTACACTTAAAATTTCTTCACACTTTTTAAGAAAACATATTTAACAAAGCTAATTCAAACTGTTATTCCATTACCTTGGCTAGCGTCTGTGGTGCTGGATTTCAAGGAAAGCTGCTTTGTCCCATCTTTTACTCTTTTCAGCCGGTTCTTATCCCCTGGTAAAGTCAGTTTTTGCCTGAGTGGTTTTAATTCAAACGCCTGAAAAGTCTTGACCTGCGCCTTCTCCTCGGGAGCGACTTCTTTACTTGAGTCTTTTGTAATACTGGCATTGTCAGTGCTTGTCTGGTCTTCAAAATGCAATGTCTTAGCATCTTCCTGCACATGCTCTTCTTTGCTATTCAAAGCTAGCTTTTCATCCTTATTGATGCACTCTAGTTCCAGCTGTATTTGCTTATACTTTAAAAGCAAATCTTCAAAAGTTTCTTCCCCACAGTTTTCACTTTTGCATGAATGATTCTGTTTTCTTGATGGAGACCTTCCAAAACTTTTGGCTGAACAGCATATTAAGGAAACCAGTTTCCAAAATTTTTCCAGTTAAATTTAACAAAAATACTTAAGTTATTGATGAATTTTTGTCCCTCAATGTTTCAAGATGAACAGATATTTTTAAATTACTAAATTTCATTTAATATATGTGCTGCTAATGCCTGCTTATGTGCCCATATTGCAATTTAACAATCAGTCCACTTACAAAATCATTAGTGTCAGAAATTACCAGTTGAATCCACAGGTAGCATCCTTCCTTCTGTAAGTATGAGGAAAACCCAAAGCATTGAATAGATGGTAAGGACGCTTTCTGCAGGAAAGGGGAGTAACTGTTTTGTCACAGATGTTGACAATTTACACTTCTGATAATCAGGAGGGAATCTTCTCTTTTATTAGTTTCTTCTCATTTCAAATTTTCAAAAAAATAAATAAAAAATGAACACTGACAATTAGGAGACATTTCTTTAAAAAAACTGATACATAATAAATTGAGAATTCATCAGTACTAAATCTGACACATTCATAATTAATATAAAAGCCATGTAACAAAAAAATAAAAATTTTAAATGTTATTTAAATGTATTTTCTAATTTTAAGCAATTCACAAATATGATATAAATTTCATTCTGCAAGTTAAGTGAAAAGCTGGGTAAATTATGTAGTTTCAATAAACTACTTGTGTTTTCATTGATTATAACAATGTTGTCCTTCTCTGCTTAACAAACAGCCAACCAAGATTTCAAACTCCTGATGACCCATTCAAAGATGGGAATCATGACCACAAATTTGAGAAACTAGATGAACTTAAACTTAAAATCAATAGTTCTGCTGTTAAAACTGTTCTAGTAAATCTCCACTTCTTAAAAGAAGTCCTGTCCCTGAGCCCCCTAGCTGTCCTGGAACTTGATTTAAAATCGAGGACCATATTGGCCTTGAACTTATAGAGATGCGCCTGCCTCTGCCTCCCAAGAGCCGGGATTAAAGGTGTGAGCCACCACTACCTGGCAATACCCTTCTTTCCTCCCATCCCACCAAATGGAATCTAGTTTTATTAATTCAACAGAAACTAATCTAAATTTATAGATTATTATTTTTAATCTTCATTTTACCTGATTCCTTTGCAGTCACTGTACACCACTGATGTCTCTGCCTCTGTGACTCTCACGTCTCCTCATTTATCTACATTTTTTAATGCTTCCTAACTCCTTTGTCTTCAAAGCTTGAGATGGAGTTCTGTAGTTGTCAGAATTCAGTCTTTTTCATTTGACAACATTTTAAGTATTCCCACCGTTTTACCTACCACATGAGAGGAATCTGAATTGATAAGGTATTTGGGGTTCTCTATTGCCCACAACCCATGCACATACTGCTGTCAAAATAATCTTATGTTTGTTTTGTTTGTTTGTTTTCTGAGGCAGGATTTCTCTGCATAACAGGTCTAGCTGTCCTAGACTCTCTTTGTAGATCAGACTGGCCTCGAACTCAGAGATCCACCTGTCTCTGCCACCCAAGCACTGGTCAAAGTAATCTTTATAGATTATAAAACTTCAGATTATTCTTCTGAGAGCCCAAAGCCCTTAGAATGAATGCCTTTATTATCTGACCTGGGCTTACCTTTCCAACCTCACCTTTTCCCGGCTCATCACAATTGATACAGCTTTCTTCTGTTCAACTTGACCCCAATTCAAGACACCTAGATGAAGCCAAAGTTATTCCCTGGCCATTTATGCATTCTTTGTTCGTAAATACTGTAATTATCTATATTCCAGCTGAGCCATCTAAAGCCAAATAGATACTAAAGACACTGTAGACATTTGCAAAGAGAGTATGTTCAATATACCAACAAAAAGTAACCTAATAACTGAAAAATGAGTGAAAACAATTGTGTTATGGTCATTAACTTACCTCTGAGACAAAATCCCTCTACAACATAATTAGGATCAAATCAACAATTGCTTGTTTGTCAGGATGTGACTTCTAATTTGTATTCTATGTACTACTTGCTGAGGCTATAGCTCAGTGGTACAAGGACACATAAAAGAGGAGCTTGAGCTGGAGAGGATGGTGCAGCCAGGACCTGAGTTTGATTCCCAGCACCCATGTTAGGAGGTTTACAACTGCCTGTAGTTACGGTTTTAGGCAATCTAACACCCCTGATTTCCAGAGGCACTTATGTGAATATATGCACACACACACATATTTAAAATTAATAAAAATAAATCTTTAAAAAAAGAAAACAAACTTCTTTCATATGATTTTGGTGGCAAATGTATAATGCCAACTACCATGGAAGTTGAGACCTACTTCACAAGATCCTCTCTTCAAGCAAAATGTAAATGAACCAATGATGCAGTTTCTACAGCAAAGCCTTGGGCTCAACTCTCAGTACCAAAAAAAAAAAAAAAAAAAAAAAAAGAGGAAGAAAGAGAAAGGGAAACTGACTTTTAAACCTGCTGTTTTAAAGGAAGAACCACTTTTCAATGTTAGCTGAAGCCAAAAGAGAGGATAACTTGACCCATGTCAGGCACTGTCCTAATTATGTTAAATCTCCTCTAATTTCAAAGTTATACATGGGAGGCCAAACACTAACAGACTGAGGAGGTAGAGGCAGAAGATCAGGAGTCCTGAGGTAGCCTATGCTACATGAGACCCTGTGTCTCTCTCTCTCTCTCTCTCTCTCTCTCTCTCTCTCTCTCTCTCTCTCACACACACACACACACACACACACACACACACACACACACACACACACACACACACACACACACTGAATAGGAATGAAGAGCTGTAGGGAGACTGATACAAGTCAAATGCCATAGCTTTGAGGCCAACTGGATTACACAGTGAATGCCACAGAAGCTACAATGTGCATCTATGTCTCCAAACAAGAACAATTAAAAAAAAAAAAAAACCTGAAACAGGCCAGGCAGTGGTATCAAATGCCTTTAATCCCAGCACTTGGGAGGCAGAGAAGGGGGAATCTCTGAGTCTGCTGAGATCAACCTCGTCTGTAGGGCAGCCTATAAATCCACTTCCAGGACAACCAGAACTGTTAAACAGAGAAAGTTTGTCTAGAAAAACCATTAAAACAAAAAACCCTGGTCTATTCTGTTTTCTTTAAAGTTGCAAGTAATTTATTTTAATTATAGAATAGAAAAAAATGATACTCAAGCTATTTCACATCTAAATCACTTGAGTCATAATTGCCCTCATTCTTTTTTAGACGATATTTGTGAAATAGTCATTTTTATAATCACAGTAGATATATGAATTAAGTGGAGTATTATACTGATACTGAAGGAATATGAATAGGGCTTGGTATTGCAAGTTTTATTTGCTCCCATTATGTTTTCCTTCTCCAGTTCTTACTAAGAATACTACCTCTATGGTGGTTTACTGATATTTCATGAGAACAAGAATGAAGACAAGCAAACCAAGCATCTTATTCTTAAAGTGCAGTGTCTGAAACACAATCAATACGAAAGCTGATTTCTGACAAGCTATCAGAGAAATCAAATTCACATTAACCACACTGGATATTTACCTACATTCCTTTTTCCATAAGTACATAAAAATATTAATATATGGCATAACCCCTATACAGCAGCAAATAAACAGACGAAAATGGGGAGGAAGGAAGTAGGCAAGCCTAATCACCTTTGAATTGCCACTGTGCTTTTGTCCTCAATTTGATGTTTTACTAAACTCTATTTTCACAACACAAATTACACATTTCATCTACATAACCTTAAAAAACATGCTTATGTAAACATCCTTTGTTGTTGAATTCGGAAAACAAAAAGCCATGATATTTGCATGTAATCATACCCAAAGGTTTTCTAATCTTCATGAAAGAACATTCACTGTGTTTTAAAAGGTTACCTACCTGGGCGTTGGTGGCGCATGCCTTTAATCCCAGCACTCAGGAGGCAGAGGTAGGTGGATCTCTGGGAGTTCAAGATCAGCCTGGTCTACAACAGCAAAGCCTCCAAAGCCACAGAGAAAACCTGTCTCGAAAACAAACAAACAAACAAAAAAAGTTACCTACCTATAACTTTTCTGCAAAACAATCTTGAGATGCTCCCAAAGCAATTTTAGGTGGTAGAAGTAAAAGCTGTGTCAGGACACAGGAACCAAAATCTGTTATTTCTTTAAATATCCCTTGCCCAATAACATCATGACATCTAGAAAAAGTGCTTCATAAAAATAATTTTGAGTATCTTCCAATTAAGTGTCATATGTAAACTTTATAGAAAATATATTAAACAACCATTACATCATAGGAATTATAGCTAGTAATAAAAGTGCTTAGTAAACTATTTTAAACTATTAGTACAAGTCGGGATGTATAAACCCATCATAAAACACAAACGTTTTGGACGATTAATTTCTGAAAATAAACCCCGAGTAAACCTGGTATTGTTAAAGATAGCCAATAATAAGGTTAGAGGCAGCAAAAGTTAGGAAACTGGCTGTTTTTCTTACCCACTTGTAGAGACACATCCCTCCCCTACATACACTACATACAATAAAAGTGCTGATAAGTTTATCTGACTCTGATCTGCACATTGGCAGCACCAAGAATTACAAAGCCCCAAAGTCAAGATGGGAAAGTGAACTCAATGCATTTAGCATTCCAAACTACGGATGGATGGACTGAAAAGATTTAAATTACTAAAACTGGTAAAAAGTAAAGGATCTACATCCACGCACGCACACACTTTCAAAGGCAGTAATGAGAACTCTAGAGGAGGAAGAAGAAATTCACAAGGACAGTAAAATTACACAGGGAAACGACGAATTCTAATGTCAGGGTTTATGAGTCTTTCTTTCCTCTAATAATCTAAGCGAATTTCCCATAAAATACGAAACTCCGGTGCTAGCAAAGAAGCAAGTTACCAATGAAATCTGGGCGGCTGGTGTGTACCGTTAAAAACCTGGTTTCTCTAGCTGACCCGAATCCACGGCACACTCGATGTTTGAGAGCGGTCCAGTCCAATAAAACAATCTAAGAAAATAGCGGTGGAGTGTGGCACATGACAACTGCCGACGCACGGAGAGACATATAGGTGGTTCCGAAAAGTTAGAACTCGGGGACCTAGTCCTGACGCTAAAGAGAGCTCCGGCGACACACCCAGGGCAGACCGCCACGTTAAGGATACAGCTCTTGCGGGGTGGAGAGGGCTCTCGCCAACTCTGACTGCTGCCGAATCCGGATCCCGCTCCTCCTCCTCCTCCCAGGGGAGGTCTGCACCCCGGCTTGCCGCCTCGCTCGCCCACTCCTCGCCCCCGACTCCACCGACTCCCACCCCGGTAAGGCCTGCCTCGAAAGCGGAAACGGTCCAGGGCGATGTGGCTCCGCTCCCAGAACGACGGCCGGGGGCTGCTTTCCGACAGGGAGCCCGAAGGCATCCGCACCGGGGGCGGATGAGTCCGGAACGGTTCTTTGGGTCGGTAGCTGCTGTGTCCCCTGAGGTGGCCCCGTTCCGACGGGTGCCGCGAGCGTGAGAAATTCCTCAGCTGCTGCTGAGAAGAGGACGACGACGACGACGAGCCGCCGCCTCCCCCGGATCCGCCGCCGCGGGGCGGGTGAGCAGGCCTCCGCCGCGGGTACGGTAACAGCCCGCCGCAGCTACTGCTGGTGCTGCTGCTCCGGCTCCGGATCTGGCTGTTGTTGTCGTCGTCGCTGATCTCCCCATCCTCAAGCTCCCCTTCTTCCTTCGGGGAGAGGCCGCTAGAGGCCGGGGTCGAAGTATCAGCGGTCGCCATCCGGGGAGCAGCGCCGGTCACACCGCCTTAGCCCTCCGTCCGGGGACCCGCCCGACCGCTGCCTTCCCCTCCCTCCTCTCCCCTGTGTCCTAACGGGCCCGGCAGGCGCGGCCTTCCCGTGCTCCGACGCCTAGCAGGCTCTGCTCCCCAACTTCCCCGCACCCCAGATCTCTCTCGCCGGACCGTCGCTCAGCCAGTACCCTCTCCTAGCGCCCCCTTGCTGCTCTTCCGCCTCGCGAGAAAGGAGCCGTGGAGGAGGAGGTGGAGGAGGAGGCCGTGTCCCGATCGTCATTTCCGGCCGCACGCCGGAAGGAGGCGACTTCCGAGTCTCGCGATAGAAAGGAAGGGCGACGGACGCGATGCTCGCTGGGATTTGTAGTCTCTTCTTGCGCCAAAGGCTTCGCCCTTGAGCCCGGTGGACCTAACTGTCCCTGGCGTCCTGGCTGAGATGGCCCGGTCGGTGGCCGGGTAGCGGGCCTGCGTTTCCGAGTCACTCATTGGTGGGGAAGACACATGCCCATCTCGTTGCTCGGGCGCCCTTATCTGAGACTCAGTCTACCTACTGTCTTTGGGACCCCGGGGGGGAGAGCGGGCGTGGCCGCCATGTTGGTGAAGGCGCCGGGGGCTGCGGGACCGTTGGCTGGTGCGAGCCTGAACGCGCCATGTTAATAAAGAGACGGGGGAGTGGGCGCTCCCTCCCACCCGTGTAGCGTGCACGCCCCTCTCCCTCGCGTCGCCGGCCTCGTTTGTCTGTAGCGTTGCGACAGCCGCTTTAGCGGGCTGCGCTGGCGTCAGGGAGCGCCGCCGAATGAGGGGCCGGGGGAGATGCCGACCAATTGCGCCGCGGCGGGCTGCGCCGCCACCTACAACAAGCACATTAACGTCAGCTTCCACAGGTAACCTGGGCGAGGGAGTGGGTGACGGAGCCGGGCATCCAAGGCGCGAGGGGACCTCAGTCCCGAGCCCGGCTGCTGAGAATAACCTGGGGACGTGGGGGTTGGGGGGGACACACGGCAGTTCGGTCCCTTTGTGTGTGGCTTCGCGCAGCTGGAGACCTCTCTGCTCCTTTTCCCGAGGAATGTGGACACCCGCTTTGCGCAAAGAAACGCGGGTTCTTGCGAACGATAACCCTCGCATTAAAGAGTGATGAGCGTACCTTTACTCTCTGCTCTTTTGTTGTTGTTTTTAATGTCTTAGACCATCCCTTGGCACGAATGACGCCATAAAGGAATCATTTCCCGTCCAAGTCAACACATTCCCGTAAAAAGCCTGCTGTGCTCGAGTTTTAAAATTAGGAAAGTCTCACTAGCTGAATTGACGTGGGAAAACGTTTTGTCATAGGCACACGCAGTAGCTGCGGAGGACCTGAGTCATCACTTGACCGCCATGTAATTAAGCAGTGTTTATCAAAGCGCAAACAGAAGCTTTCTCTTGAACAGAATCATGAAATGAACCTAGGTTCTGTCTTTCTTTCGATGAGAGCACAGCCGTGTCTTTAGTTCCGCTAAGTCAAACTATGCAAAGCATTTGAACACTGCCTTGAATATAATAGGAACTCCGTAAATGTTCACTTTTCCATCAAGAACTGCCACCCGCCTGAAGAAACTTAATACTAGAAACTTAAGTGAAAACGGTTATCTTATATACCCCACCATATAAATTGAGATCTTAGAATATAGAAAATACCTCTGATCTTTTCCCTACCTCACTATTACTAAGCGCACCCATCCCCTGACTAAAAGCTGCCACTTAAAACATCCTTCTGGTGTTTGTTTTTAAAGTACTCCATGCAAATGTAGTGCTTTATTCATTCGTACAGCTGCTGTGCACTAGGTCCCTAATCGCCTGACATTATGCTAATGACGAAGAAAGCCCTTACCCTCGGGGAACTTTAGAATTGAATAGAGGAGGAAGACATAATTACAGTTGAGTGCCACAGAAAAAACATTCAAAGGGATCTAATTTAGCATTGGAAAGTCAAAGGACACTTCACAAAAGAGGTGACATGTCGACTGAGACCAAAGGAAGACTGTAGGCTTGGTCCTCTCTATGAAGCAGTTTCTGTTCTGTTCCGGGAGTACTTGAGAAGCCCCAAGAATGTAAAAAGAATAGCATGATTCTACTTCCATAGTAAAAAGCCTTCTGGCTGCAGGGTGGAGTTGAGAGTGATACTTAAGGTTCTAGTCAAGCCTCACCAGAGGTGAATTTGCTGAGAAAGGAACCTGTTGTAGAATGTTCTTTCATCTACCATTTCCTTCACAGGGAAACCATGCTGTATGAATGCTGCTGCTTAGTTGTGGGTACAGGAGCACTGAATTAGGGGAGGTGAGAGAGCTGAATGAGAAGAAATGAGGAAGCTGTGTAAAAGGGAGGCCAAGCCTGGTGTGGTGATACATGTCTGTAATCTCAGAGATGAGAAGAAAGAGGCAGGGATGTCATTAGTCTGAGGCTGGCCTGAGCTCCATAGACCCTGTCTCAAGATAAAATTTAAATAAACCTGGGGAATCCATCCAGTGGCCTTGAAGAGGATGTTCTTAGCAGTCAGGGTGGAGAGAAGTAGACAGGTTTTGAGAAATGTTTGAGGAGAATTTACTGGATTTGGTAATTGGCTGTGGAAGACAAAAGGGAGGAGTCTAGCCACTAAAAGCAGTGGAGAGCTGGGTTTGGTGGCTTACAGCTGTAATCTTAGATTATAGGAGGCAGAGTTTGGAGGACACACCCCAAGGTCCAGGCCTGTCTGGACTACAGAATAAAACTCTTGTCTGGAAGAAGATGAAGAAAAAAAGACGCACCATATACATACTGTCCATCTAATGTGAATCTAGCATTTTTATGGTAGCCTTAGAAATTTAGGTCTTTATAATTGCTAGGCACATTCCTATATTCCTTTTATATGGTAGTAGGTAGAAGCATCACCATGAGTTCAAAGCCAGCCTGAGTTCCAGAATGAATTTGAGGCCTGGCTACAAAATAAAACCCGGTTTCCAAACACAACAAGCAAAACAAACCAAAAATGGGTTCTAAAATATCATAATAAAAATGAATTCCTGTTTTCACAAACACAAATAGTATTTAATTTGTCTTATAGGACATAGGGGTGTGTGTCTGTCTGTCTGTCTCACTATGTAGCCCTGGCTGGTTCATACTGAATCTGTAGACCAGATTGACCTTAAACTCATAGAGATCTCTCTGCCCGTGCCTTCCAAGTATTTCTATTAAAGATATGTACCACCATGCCTGGCCAACATAGACTTCTTCTCTCTCTCTCTCTCTCTCTCTCTCTCTCTCTCTCTCTCTCTCTCTCTCTCTCTCTCTCTCTCTCTCTCTCTCTCTACTGAGTGTGGGCCAATGTACTCCCCTGGTCCTCTGCCAACCCCATAGGTTCACTATCGGTAGTGAAATGCCATCCAACACACATACTGATTCCCGAATTCCCCTTTTCAGTAAGTGAAATACCATCCACCCAACAAGTTGGAAACAATCCAACTTGATGCGTGGCTATTCCCTCTTGACTGGATATTCTAACAGCATCTTAGCTGGTTTCCTGGCTTCCATTCATGTACTTGTAACCATCCTACTATAATCAATGGTCTATAGCTCCATAGTAGCAGTTGTCTTTTCATGAAAGGGGGAAAGCCCCCATATACAGTATTTACCCAGTTTCTAAGATGCATTTACTCTCACCAAGCTTGGTTTCAAGCCACCAACATGACATGACTAATCGTGGAGCTAAGAAGAGATGTATAATAGCACACTAATCTGTCGTGGTTCTACCATATAGATACAGTAGACATAAATAACAAAATAGAAATAAGGGCTGGAGAGATGGAATCAGCAGCTAAGAATGTGTACTGCTCTTCCAGAGCTCCCAGGTTCAGTTCCCAGCACCTGAATGAGGCAGCCCAATCTATAATTTCAGCCTTCCATGTATGTTTCATGTCCTGCTCCTGAAATACTCTATAATTCATTATTCCTTCAGCATGTCCTATTCCATACAGCTCCATACTTACTCCTTTACAAAAGACCTACTATGCCACTAAGCTAAGTACTTACATGTTCTAATCTTTAAAAGAAATGTGTGAGCACGTGAATTTGTTGGGTTTTTTTTTTCTGAGACAAACACTAGAGTTGTGTTATCCCCTTAGAAGCATTTCTACCTCACGTTACAAATGGCAAAAATAAACTACTTGGGGCTGGCAATGTACCTCAATGGTAGATACTTACTGTATATGAGACCCTACTTTTGATCCTAGCACCGTTAGCTCCAAAAAGGGGGTCTAAAAAAGTTAAGTAAATTTGCCTGCTGTGCCCAGCTACTGTGCAAAGGAGCTAGCTTGGTTGTCCAACAATTGGACGGCCTCTCTGCTAACATGTTAGGACTACTTGATTCTTTACCTTCTCAGTACACACTCAGAGGGTAGGCATTTTTTTTATTACCACCACATGTACAATGCATTATTTAAATGTAAGCAAAATAGCATTGCTCAAACTATTGAGTGATTTTTTTTCCAACACATGTAAATGTTTTTTGTTTTTGTTTTTGTTTTTTTGGTTTTTCGAGACAGGGTTTCTCTGTGGCTTTGGAGGCTGTCCTGGAACTAGCTCTTCTAGACCAGGCTGGCCTCGAACTCACAGAGATCCGCCTGCCTCTGCCTCCAAAGTGCTGGGATTAAAGGCGTGCGCCACCAACGCCCGGCTTCACATGTAAATGTTTATAAAACCCTGGGTGCCTTGTGTGAATAAGAATATGTCCACATGTTACCACCATGTGAATTTGTTGATATTTATAGGATGTTTTTATTATTCAAATTTATCCAATGAACAACATCTACCGTAAAAATATACTGGGAAAAATCCAAATAGGATATTCAAGGACCAGGCAGAGTTGCACAGGCCTGTAACCCACAGGAGGTCAAGGTCATCCTCAGCTACATAGTAAGTTTGTTGTCAGCCAGGGTGACATTAGAGTCTTAAAAACAAATAACACCTGTAAAACATAATTTAAAATAATGCTATTAAGAGCCTGGTGTTGTTGGCGCACGCCTTTAATCCCAGCACTCGGGAGGCAGAGGCAGGTGGATCTTTGTGAGTTCGAGGTCAGTCTGGTCTACAGAACTAGTTCCAGGACAGCCTCCAAAGCTACACAGGGAAACCCTGTCTCGAAAAACCAAAATAATAATAATAATAATAATGCTCTAAGAACCAGCCGTGGTGGTACATGTCCACCATCCCAGCACTCAAGGTGGAAGCCAATGGACCCCAAATAATACTTACTGCTCATCTTCACTGATTGCCTAGTAAAATTAAATATATTTAACTAGGTTTGACAAACCATTAAATAATGAAGTAAGAGTTTGTTGAAATGAGAAAAGATTAGGATATATGTTAAGCCAAATGCAGCTGCTCACTCATGTAATCCACCACTTGAAAATCGAGGCACGTGGATTGCAGTTTTAGGCTGGCTCTGGACTGCACAGTGTGCTGCAGTCCAGCCTGGCTTAGATAGGTAGGCCCTATCTCAAAGAGCTCACAGGGAACTGAGAACTAAGCAAAGTTGGTAAGTTTATCAGAGCATGCCTTTTGAAGAAATTAAAAATATAAAAATATGAACTGTGAGCCGGGCGTTGGTGGTGCACGCCGTTAATCCCAGCACTTGGGAGGCAGAGGCAGGGGGATCTCTGAGTTCGAGGCCAGCCTGGTCTACAGAGCGAGTTCCAGGACAGACTCCAAAACAATACAGAGAAACCCTGTCTCGAAAAACCAAAAAAAAAAAAAAAAAAAAAAAAATGAACTGTGGAGTGACAGCACATCTTCAGGGCATATCTGATGTGAGGAAGTCATATCTGATGTGAGGAAGTCTATTTAGAGTACATTTGCACTTTCATCTGTACTATCACTGGCAATGTGTGCAGACGAATTCCATACATGTGATAGGCCTCCTGAACCACATGATCTCACATGGATGTTATGGCTCTTTATATACACAAATTAGTACATATGGAGGATGTAGTAATCAAACCAAAGAAGATTTAGAAGCTCATCGAGCAAAGGCACTTGCCATGAAAAGCAATCTGAATTTGATCCCAGAACCCATGCAAAGGTTGAAGGAGAAAAACCCAACACCAACACCTCAGACCTCCATTTGCAAGCTGGCACACATGCCCACCACGCACATATATCATACAAATATAGTAACAAAGGGATCTGTTAACATTCACATATTTATTGGGTGTCTTTGAGAGAGAAAGACTGTGTGTACATGCCATGGGCTGCATGTGAAGACAGGACAATTTGTGGGAATTGTTTTCTCCTTTCACCAGGTGGGTCCAAGAAATCTAACTCAGGTTGTGAGGTTCAATGGTAAGTGTTCTTACTTAATGAGTCATCTCACTTGCCCTAAATTAAAAAATAAAATAAAATAAGAATTATAATTGAAATTTAACTATATATGGATGTTGATTATGTTTCCAAGTCAATTAACAAAGCTAGAATTATTAGAATTTTCAGAAATAGCCTTTTATATTCGTGTCTTCCTTAAGCAGTATGTGTTGGATGGATGTATGTTTTGCATCTGAAATAAATATGAAAGGAAAAGGATAGCTTAAAGATCATTTATCTTCTTATTATTGTTTTCTGCTATGTTCCATAGCTCCAGAAATTTTTCAAATGCAGATTAACTACACAGAATTCAGTGAATTATTTATATATTCTGTATTTGTATTAATATGTCAAATTTTTTTGAGTTCTTGTTGTTTGCAAGGTCAAAGATAATCAGATAAATAATAGTAATAATCACTTTCCTCAAGAAACTTACAAGCCAGCAAGATGGCTCAGTAAGCAAAAGCCCTTGCTAAGGGCTAGGTCAGAAGGAATGTCTCTTTTTAAATTCTTGAAAAATTAAGCTAAGAGTTTTTGTCTAACTATTAATAACATAAAAATTATCATAAATTGGCATCTGGAGATTGTTTAGTTTTTCCCCATAAATGAGGAACTTTTTAAATTAAGTATAACAAAAACAGGAGAGTCAGAGTTTGAGTTGCTTTTTGTTTGCTTGTTTTAAGGTTTCCTTTGGATCCTAAAAGAAGAAAAGAATGGGTTCGCCTGGTTAGGCGCAAAAACTTTGTGCCAGGAAAACACACTTTTCTTTGTTCAAAGCACTTTGAAGCCTCCTGTTTTGACCTAACAGGACAAACTCGACGACTTAAAATGGATGCTGTCCCAACCATTTTTGATTTTTGTACCCATATAAAATCTATGGTAGGTGATACCACTCTCCTTTCTTCAAACATGCTTTAGATTCTAGTACTTTTTGTTTGTGCAAATGAGCAATTCACATTGTGCTAAAATGAGTGTGTAATGACATGCCTCAAAAAAGTAGAGCTTCCTCTTGTGTGAGAGAGGTACAGGCTAGAATCAGGACTTGGGTCTCCTGACTCCAATCTTGTTTCCCCTGTGAAGTCCAAACAAATTTCAGATTTTGGACTTCTGGATGTCCAAATTTAAGGATGCCCAGCAGCTAGAAATCTATACAAGTCCTCAAAGTCTGAAGCACTTGTAATCCAAGTACTTTGCATATGGGGCACTTGACCAAAATTGCAGCCTTACATAACTAAAAATTATTGTAATTATCAGTAAATGTACCATTGGCAAAAACGAAAAGATTAGTAATGACACCTCCAGAGTCACTCTGTTCTAATTGTAAGATGAGAAGCAAGTGGTGTGTAGTAAATCCTTTAGGAACACATATTCAGTTATGCCAAGAGATGGTGACTCAGGTCAAGACTTTATAAGAAACTATAGGGTTGGTCTGGAGAAGATGGCTCAGCGGTTAAGAGTACTGACTGTTCTTCCAGAGAGCCTGAGTTCAATTCCCAGCAACCACATGGTGGCTCACAACCACCTTGAGATTTGGTGCCCTCTGCTGGCATGCAGGCAGAAGATTGTATACATAATAAATAAAATATTAAAAAAAAAAAGAAACTATAGGGTTCATTCAGTTTAGCAGTGAGCTCTTGGGAGTTTGGAACACTAGAGGTTTTTGACCATGCATAGGGCAATTTAGTCAGATGCTAAAACTAAAGCCAGGGGCTTGAGAGATGAGTAAGAAATTATCAAATGTTGATTCATTTGAAAGAAAAGAGAGAATTAGGTTCAGGGTTAATGAACTGAAGTGAGTTTAAGCCTGGCTGGTGGCGCATACCCTAAATCCCAGCACTCTGAGGGCAGAAACATTTTGAGCTCTGAGTTCAAGACCAACTAGGTCTTATTGAATTCCAGGGCAGCCAGAGCTGCATACTCAGACCTTGTCTCAAAAACAACACAAACAAAACCACGTGGTTTAAGGCTGCAAATACAGCTCCGTGGTAGAGTGTGTCCAAAGTTTGATGCCCAGCACCAAGGAAAGAGACCACAAGAGGAAGAAGGATACATTATACGTTGATCTGATTAGAGAAGAAAAACTGAGAAAGTCACCTAAGGAAAAGAAAAAGTAGAAAACACAGGAGGGTTTGAAAAAGGGCATCTTCCCACTGAGAAGGAAAAAGCTATTGTTTAACTGTGACTTTGAATTTGGAAGGGGACATGAGTCAATGTTTTTTGTTGTTTTTTTTGTTTTGTTTTTTTTGTTTTTGTTTTTCGAGACAGGGTTTCTCTGTGGCTTTGGAGGCTGTCCTGGAACTCGCTTGGTAGTCCAGGCTGGTCTCGAACTCACAGAGATCCGCCTGCCTCTGCCTCCCGAGTGCTGGGATTAAAGGCGTGCGCCACCAACACCCGGCATGAGTCAATGTTTTAATGGGTGAGAGGATGTGTATCACTGCTGATGGTGGTGGTGGTGGTTATGATAAGATGATGATGATGATGATGATGATGATGATGTTAGAAAAGCTGCAGAACAGCAAGGGCTTTCTTATTTCTAAATATTCCAAATTTGAGCACCTCAAAGATTGCCTGCCCCCAAGTATGCACTCACATATTGAAATTGAAATGTACCATCAGCTGTCGCAGGCAATGCACATTTTTACTTCAAGTGCTCAGGAGGGAGAGGCAGGAGGATCAGTTCATCTGCTCCATAGAAAGGTCGACACCAGCAAGGACTATGTGAGGCATTATCTCAAGAAAAAGAAAGAGGAAGCCTATCTCTGCCTTTGGTAATTTATTTATCCAATAACTACTAAACTTTTTGTTATGCCAGAACCAGTTAGATGTTGAGAAAATGAAGGGTGAAGGAAAGCTCTGACATTTCTCTATAAGGAGAAGCCAGCTGTAGGTTTTTATTAGTAGGAACTATAACTTATTCAGTGTTATTTTCCCAGGAATTAATGCTTCAGTAGGTGGTTGGGTTGTTTTTGCTTTGCTTTGTTTTTGTTTGTTTGTTTTTGTTTGGAGAGACAATCTTGCTATTGAGGTAGCACAGACTATCTTCAAACTCTAGCCCAAGCTATTTTGTTGGTTTTGTTTTTTTGTTTTTTGTTTTTTGTTTTGTTTTTTTTTTGTTTTTGTTTTTCGAGACAGGGTTTCTCTGTATTGTTTTGGAGGCTGCCCTGGAACTCGCTTTATAGACCAGGCTGGCCTCAAACTCCCATAGAGATCCACCTGCCTCTGCTTTTCGAGTGCTGGAATTAAAGGCGTGCACTTTCAATACCCGGCTATTTTTTTTAACATTTATTTTATGTGTATTGGTGTTTTGCTTGAGTGTATGTCTGTACCACAAATATACCTTAGGCCTGTGGAAATAAGAAGAGGACAGTGGATCTCCTGGGAAAATGGAGTCACAAACAGTTGTTAGCCACTATGTAAGTGGTGGCAATCAAATCCAGGTCCTTTGGAAGAGCAACCAGTGCTCACCTACCTAGCCATCCTCCATCCCTACAAGCTACTCTTGAACTAGCCATCCTTCTGCCTCTACCTCTAAAATGCAAAAAAAAAAAAATGTTTCTTTATATTCTGGCTTTTTTGAGAGAGTTTCACTGTGTAGCCCTAGGCTAGTCTTAAATTTATGGCACTCCTGCCTCAGCCTCCTGAGTGCAGGGATCACAGTACATACCACCATACCTTAAGTGAATGTTTATTTAATAAGTAGAAGACACAATTACGAGAAGATGTGATACAGTAGGCAAACAAGTGGTTTACTATTTCTGGAGTATTCTGAACAAAAGAATCCTTTGCTTTCAGGTTTGGACAAAAAAAATTCCTAGCCAGATTTTAAATCTTTGAAGATTTAGTGTGAAGAATTATAAGTAAATCTGTTTGGGAACTTGATACCTCTATAGATATGTGAGTTTTTGTTTGTGTAGATTCCAGATCTAAACTATTCATCAAATTGAGAGACTAATACTTAACAAAAAGCAGATCAGATCAAAATGTCTAAACAAATTCTAGCGTGGTCTTAGTAAAAAGAATTGAAAAATATTTTTAAAACCTCCAAAAATCATATGGAATAATGTGGAAGATACCTTGAAAATCCACTGCTTATTTCTAAATCAATGTTTAAATGTCTATAGATAAAGGGCATAAGGAAACGGTAACTATCTAGGTATGGCAGCACAGACATTCCTTTAATCCCAGCACTCGGGAGATCAAAGCAGGTGGCTGTCTTTGAGTTCAAGGCCACCCTGGTCTACATATTCCAGGACAGCCAGAGCTGTCTATGTAGAGAGCCCATGTCTGAAAAATGAAAAGTGCAAGGTGACTAACTAGAGTTCATTCAACCTACTGAGAAACTCTAGCCATGGTTACATGAGATAGTGTGCTGTTGTTGCCCATTAAACTTTAAAAACAGTTGTTAAAAGAGCAGTTTAAATACCATGTTACTCAGAACTGGACACTGTTTACTTATTTGTGATATCCATAATTTATATTAAACTCTCTGTTCGGCTCAGAAACTCAAGTCAAGGAATCTTTTGAAGAAAAACGACAGTTTTACTCCAACTGGACCATGTACTTTAAAGCCCAACAGTCAGCAAGTACTGCTTGAACACAGTTATGCCTTTAGGAACCCTATGGAGGCGAAAAAACGGATAATTAAACTAGAAAAAGAAATAGCAAGCTTAAGAAGAAAAATGAAAACATGCCTGCAAAGGGAACGCAGGGCAACTCGGAGATGGGTCAAGGCCACCTGCTTTGTGAAGAACTTAGAAGCAAGTAACATGCTGCCTAAGGGCATCGCAGAACACATTTTACCAACTGCCTTAAGCAGTCTTCCTCTGGAAGATTGCAAACTTCTTGAGGAAGATCAACAAAGTAAAACATTACCAGTTCTCTAAATCTAAAACAGACAAGGAGATCTGCGTTCAAGTTTTCCTTACACAAAAATCCCATGCCCATCTTCCAGTCTTATCATCGAGGATACTTACGGCAGTTGTACTCAAATCAAGTACTTGAAGTAACAAGTCATTATGTAATGTACTACATACGGAGACTTGAGTCTAAGAAAAATGGGAAAGTTGAGCAACAACTTTGAGAGTGAGTGGAAGTGCCTTACATGAGGATCATGGACTTAGACACTGTCTTCAGAAACACTGCTTGCAGAGTGTTTCTGCTTTTGCTTTTAAACTGCTGTTAAATAGGAATGACAAATGATATGTTCATATGAAGAAAAACATTCTACGCCAAAGTTGGGATATTACATTCTAAAGAACATGCGAGGTAGGAGCTAATCATATTAAAGGTGAACTTAAAACTACTGGATTTTCTATGAATTAAATTAATGGGATTGTGATTGAAAATTTATAGAATAAAATTTCTGGGGTACGGGGCAAGTTTTTTTTTTCTTTTTTAACTTATTGTATTTTTTTTAACCAGTCAAAGTAAGCTTATCATGACCTTCCTTATAAGAACATTGGGCCTTAAAGTAGGTTATAAAATAATTTGAAAATAATATTTTGAATATGAAATACCTTTGAGACTCCAAGCTAGGTGAGACCTCAAGTACCTCAGATTGGGAAAAGCCGGTGAGTTATACTCAGTTTCTAAGAAAATCGACAGAAAATAATGCAGAATTCAGGATCTAGCTTTTACTTTAACAAAATTAATAGATAAGTGTAAATTATTTAAATTATTCTTTTTTATAATAAAATACTGAATTTCCATCTTCATAACTGATAAAATTAATAAGCACATTAGACCTGTAGCCATTTGTTCCTTGTATTGATAGCAAATTCTTTTTTTTTTTTTTTTTTTTTTTTTTTTTTGGTTTTTCGAGACAGGGTTTCTCTGTATTGTTTTGGAGACTGTTCTGGAACTAGCTCTGTAGACCAGGCTGGCCTCGAACTCACAGAGATCCGCCTGCCTCTGCCTCCCGAGGAATGGGATTAAAGGCATGCGCCACCAACGCCCGGTTTGATAGCAAATTCTTAAGTTGCTATTTCCTTTTTTTAAACCAGTTTCTAATCACCTTTTCTATGTCAAAAATAGCTTTTGGCCTCCCACTTGATAAATCACAGTATAATTTAGTCATAGGAAAGTACTTTGACTATGTTGTGCTAAGTTAAAACAAAATCTATCTAACCCATCAACTTGCCTTTATACTTTTTTTTTTTTTAGAAAATCAACCTTAATTAATAATGGAAATAAAATACAGTTCTCTAAAACAATGTGTGTCTCTGTGATGAAGCTATGCAAATACTGATTATAAAAATACAAGTATCGAGTTTGTTCCTCTGGCTGCCACTTGCACCTTGGAAAGGCCTGCCTTATGTTACTAAATGTTCAATTAAGAGCCCTTCCTTCAAAAAGCTTTGGCCAAGTAATGCAAAAGTGGACTTGGATAAGTGAGTTATTCAGTTCTACTTCGTCTTTGTGAGATTACCATGTGACAGTAACATGCCTGGTCTTAAAGAACTATAAACCTTTCCTACAAAGAAATGGAGTTCTGATTTTTTGCCAACTTTTGGGTTGCCTCTTTTTCTCCTCCAGTTGTCCATCTCTCTTTAGTAAGTAATGTCTTCCCTGCAAATGCAATGGTAGAAAGTGTCTCTTTTAGTTTCCATGTGATACTTATGACTCACTATATACTTTACAATCCTTTTGTACATGTGATAAGCCTTGTTAGTTATCCTTAAGTATTGGATATAGTTCCTTGACTTTGTCATTGTATATCTTTCCCAACACTGTTTCAGATATCTGTATGTCATCTTGAATATTAACAGCAAATACACTGACTATACCTACTTGATAGCCTAAAATAAGCTGGGTAACTAATCATACTAACATAACCTGTATTCTCCAAGTATAAACTATCATGTGGTTGACCCGTGTACCCCAAGCACCAACCATTAATTAATGTGGTCCAGTTACTACCTAAGTAAGTATCTTTATATCTTAATATATTTTTAAATCATAAATATACAACATTATAAAATACAACAAGCTTTTAGCAAAGTTACTTAGTCTTCATTCTTATGTGTTACATTTCAATTTCTTCGGGAGTTTTGTGTGCTGGGAATTAAAAAACCAAGGGCCTTGTGCATGCATACTCTACCACTGAAACACATCCCCAATCTTTTTGCATTCACTATTATTTGACACCATTGAATAAATAATCCTCAGCAATTGTTATTCCCTGTGTATTTTCTCCATGTTATTTTCCTGATAACATGCTTCAAAATTACAACAGCTATTCCTCAGTTGTGCCTCAGAATTCTTCTATTTATCTACTCTGTGTCTACAGGCTACTAAACTTTACAGGGGATGGGGGCACAGCTTAAGGTTAGAAACCTGATTTGAAGATGTATACTGGGTTGGGAGATGTGGCTTATGTTTAGCATGCATGCAGGCCAGATTTGAAGCTCCCACACCTAAAAAGGGGGTAAATACAACACTGACTGCCCTTAAGTTGTTGCAAGCTTTCTAAAAGACATAGTGTTTGGAATATACGATAAATTCCATTTTAAAAAAAAGGTGTAAAATGCTTTGGTACACACTATTGAGTTGAAACTCAATGGAAAACGGAGCAGCTTTACACCTTTTTACAACGAAGTGATTTTCTTTTGAAATAAACCATTTTTTCAGAGAATGACTTATCAAAGGAGCTTAGAACACTAGAGTTTGGTCCGAGCTCAGTGTTACTTGAGTTGTAAGGCATTGTACCCTTTAAAAAAAAACTGAACAAAATTGTAATGATAACTTTGCTGAAAGAAAAATACAGCTACAAGTAGGTCAAAGCTAATGTCAAATATTGGAGTATTTGAAACTTGATATTTTGGGGGAAAATAACCCCAATAACAGGTTGCTATAAAAGAAAAGAAAAAAAGAAACTTTAAAAAAAGAAAAACCTTTTTAAAAAGTTAGCAATTCTCCCTCTTTTTCTGTACAAGCTGGATGCATACAAGAAGGTAATTTTGTTTACTGACTAAACATTACTCTGTCGCATGTGCACAGGAAATGGAAATGCCTGTGGTCTAGAATGAACACATATTGGGCCTCCAAATCCATTCTGCCCTTGTGTTTTGATCTTTTTTTTTTTTTATGAGACAGGTTTTCTTTGTATTGTTTTGGAGGCTGTCAATCCAGCCTGGCCTCGAACTCACAGAGATCCGCCTGCCTCTGCCTCCCGAGTGCTGGGATTAAAGGTGTGCGCCACCACTGTCCCGGCGTGTTTTGATCCTTTAATGTATGTTATTGAAATAGGAAAATCATGTGTTTCTGAAAGCAAAAGATAAACTTTAAATGTATTTAAGATGTTTATGAGATCCTTGTTGATGTTGTCTAGGTAGACTTCATTATGTTTTTTCTGTGTTAGAATACGGGTAAATTTTAATTTTGATATAATAGAGAAATTAATCTTTATATCAGGACTGGGATTTTTTGATATTTAGACAGTTGGATGCTTTATAAAGTTAAGGATTTTGTAGTGTATATTAAACAACATTGTACTCACAAAAATGTATTTGAAATTTGTTAATATTAAAAATTTTTTCCCAAGGAATTACTGTCATCCCTATTATTTCTAGAAGGTAAATTTCTGGAAAGGTCCTTACCCTAATTTGAAACCATAACAATTCCATGGTCTTCCTTCTCTCTAAGTTGAAGCAAATTGTAAAACATGTAGAAATAAGTAATGCCTTAATGACAAATTAATTTCACATTGTTACTAAATATACAGTATCACACAATTTGAATTGTTTATGCAGTCTCAGCTGGATACACAAAGAACTGTAAAAAAATCCCTGTGGGGTTTGGATATAGCTGAGTGGTGGAAGCATCTACCCACAATATACAAAGCACTGGGTTTGATTACTATTACTGAAACATAAATGAATACATTATAGTTCTCTGACAATAACTTGAGGTATGCACTGAGACTTAGTGATAGGTACAATAATCAAAGCATTGTTTTAATAGTATTCCTTAATGCTTTAATTACAAAAATAGTATTTTAACATTTACTAAGAGATAAGCTTATAGGATGAACAGATGAGATGTAGTCCCTGTTCTCAAATGTATTAGGAAAATATTTCCATTCACTTTTCTCATCCCTACTATTCCCCACTCGTAGGAATTAAGTGGAATTCAACAAATTGGTTTTCATACTGCCTATCTTCTTAAAATTTGTTCTCCAAAAGTTAAAAAGAATGAAATTCAATGTCAATAGATGATGTATATATCTGTGATAAGTTTCAGTTTAGTAAATTCTGTAGAACACTTTCTAACGCGTTTCTGTTAAGTGTTCTTTATTCTGTTAGACTTCTGTTTTAGCCTGTTCTTAACTCCCAGTCTTTTACAGAGGTCCTTTCTCATATGCTGTTCACTTGACTTTTTGGGTTTTTTGTTTGGGTTTGTTTGTTTATTTATTTGTTGTTTGTTTTGGCAGTACTAGGGACCCACTGTCCTTTTCCAACCCCTGAGAGTACCTGCACACACATCACACATTAACATATTTAAACCCACATACATACACATAAAAATTAAAAACATGTAAAGAAACTCTGTTGCTTGAAAATAGCTTTTAAAGTAAACAGGCCAAGATTTTGTTGGCATTTTTAGATTGGTAAAGTCTGTAAAAATGGCTCAGGGGTTAAAGAAATGATGGCTGGGCTTGGTGGTACACCTTCAATTCCAGCACTTGGGAGACAGAGACAGATGGGTCTCTATGAGTTAGAGACAAGCCTGGACTGACTGCTTTGTGAGTTCCAGTTCAGCCAAGGCCATATAGTAAGACCCTGTCTTTAAAAATAAAAAGGGGGCCGGGTGGTGGTGGCACATGCCTTTAATCCCAGCATTTGAGAGGCAGAGAAAGGACAATCTCTGTGAGTTCAAGGCCAGCCTGGTCTACAGAGCAAGTTCCAGGACAGACTCCAAAGCTACAGAGAAACCCTGTCTCCAAAAACAAAAACAAAACAAAACAAAAAACACCCTTTTAAAATCCTTTGAGTTAATGGGTAAGAGAAGGAGTGGAGTAATGGCTTCACAGTTAAAGGTACTTGCTGCTCTTGTAGAAGACCCAAATTCAGTTCCCAGAACCCGCATGCTGGATCACAATAGTACATAACTCTAGTTACAGGGAATCAACACCCTCTTCTGGCATCCATGTGTACCAGTCATGCTCATGGTGTACATACATACATGCAGGCAAATACTCCTACACCTAAAATAAAAAATAAATCCTAACATATTAAGAATACTGTCAGTATGTTTTGAGAAGTAGTCTCAACATGCAATCTAAGGTAGTCTCAAACCAAAATCCCTAATTTCCTACCTTAGCTTTTATGCTGCTGGAATCCCAACCGCAATACTTACTAAAGATCTTTTTCCCTATATCAGTGTAATTTTAATGAAAATGGTCTCCAAAGGCTCATATATTTGCATACTTAGTATCCAGCTCATAAACTGTTTGATATGTAGCCTTGTTGAAGGAGATGTGTTCCTTGTTGGAGATGTGTCACTGAGGGTGCACTTTGAAGTTTCAAAATGTACCCAGGCTCAGTGTCTCTCTGCCTGCCAGGCTCAGTGTCTCTCTGCCTGCCTGCCTGCCTGCCTGCAGATCAAGATGTAGCCCTCAGCTACCTCTGCAGCACAACACCTCCCATTTGTGGCATCACGCTCCCCACTGTGGTGATAATGGACTAACGCTCTGAAACTGTAACTCCAATCAAATGCTTGAAAAACAAATCAATCAAACAAATATGCCTCTCCACAGCAAGAGAACCCTGACTAAGACAAGATAGCTTGTTTTATTACCTACCAACAAAAGAGCAGGGCTGGAGAGGAGAGAAGTTTGCTTGATTTAACACAAATCACAAAAAGACAAATTGTAAGCCGGGCGTTGGTGGTGCACACCTTTAATCCCATTCCTCGGGAGGCAGAGGCAGGCGGATCTCTGTGAGTTCGAGGCCAGCCTTATCTACAGAGCGAGTTCCAGGACAACCTCCAAAACAATACAGAGAAACCCTGTCTCAAAAAAAAAAAAAGACAAATTGCAACTAATATTAACTAATATTCTAAAAATGGGGGTGGGAGAATATTAATTTGAAGAGTTACTTCTCTGTGGCAGCTACTCCAGGATTCTTTGCTGGATTTGAGTTAAGACCTACAAAGAGGCCCATAGTATCATGTGCATGATGCTTTAACATGGTTTGTGCTTGAACACAGAGGGGAGATAGGACCTGATGAAGAAATCTTATATGCACAGAAAGACAGGTTCATAAAGGCCCACAGAACTGTTGCACACAGTCCCGAGCTTTCTGCATGCATACCTATTTGCTGTCAGTCCAACTGTCTCCTTGTGAACATTGAGCTCTGTACTTACCTGTGAGGTCCCTGAATGTTACACCTGAAGGTGTCTGCAAGGCTTGAGATGGGTGTCAGAAACTCCTGTGTCTGAGTCACTGATGAAAGTATTATTTTAAATAGCTGGTTAGGCAGGAAACTTTCATGCGGGAACCAGGACCGTCCCTACTTTGCCTCAGTTATATGGGAAACATCCTTAATTGGATGTTGGGGGGGTGGGGGGAGGGAGGAGTGGGGGGGGGAACACTCATTTAAGAATAGATTTCACTGATACTGTGATGTCATGTGCAATTTTAGGCAGACCTATCCTAAGAAAGGACACCCCTGACATCCATGCTGACAAGGCTAGGGATACAGCTCATTGGAAAAGCAATTACTGAGCAAGCATGAAGCCCTGAGTTAACACTCTAGTACTAAAGCAACTAAATGTCATTAGACAACCTGGCAATGACAGTGAGGCCACTGTTTTCTTTTAGAACAACAGCTGATCAGACAAGGTTATCCTGTAGACTGCTGAAGGCAAAACAAAACAAAAAAACACAAAAAAACAAAAAAGCCCAGGTTATTTTTCTAAGCAATGCAAAAAAAATTTGTATCTGTTGTTAATAACTTGTAACCCAATAGTCTGGCAATAAAATAAAGGTCAGGTAGTGTGATGGGATAATACAAGTATTTACCTATGCAGAACAGATAACAAGGTATACAGAGAATTTTGGTAGAAGCCACGATTTATGTTCTACCAAAGGAAAAACAGTCTTGGAGTATATCTTGACATTTAAAATGGCATGATTTTTAAAATAATGCCCTCCAGCAGTGGAAATGTGAGTTTTTAAAGAGTAACTGGATTATGTCACAGTTGTGTACTATACCTTAACAGTCCTGTCATGTCTGTCACGCTGTCAAAAAATTAACTGAAAACATCTCAAAATTATGTGCTTATTATTCCTATTCACTCAGACAAAATAACTCATAATCCACCTCAGCCCCCTGTGTTCTGGGACTATAAGCATGGGCCACGACATCTAGTGAGATCTCTGTTTTGAAACTGAGGCTGGGGAGATGTGGGTAAAGCACTTGTTGTGCAAACCCGAGGGCCTGAGTTCGAATCCCCAGAACCAGGTGGGACTGACACAATTAGGACCTATCTATAAAAGGTCCAATCAGTCAGGAGACTTAGATCGTCTGTGAACAGGATGGTCTGCTGTGTAAATGAACTGACAGGATACACTCGCTTGTACAGTGTATGCAGACAGACGCATTCACAATGTGTTAGAACAATAATTACGTGAACGCTCATGAGCAGGAACCATGCTTATCTTTACATATCACGGTACCAGCTGAGTCTGGCCCAGATTAAGGGCCAAGCAATTCTGCTTCTACACGAAAATCCCTTTGTCCTTCACATGACACCATAGCACCTGGCTATGAACTCTTCATAAATTATAGCCCATGACTGGTTCTAAATTCACAGGTTTTAGCATCCCACGCCACATTTTCTGGTGACATTTTTTCAGTCTAGGGCATCCACAAATCCTAAAATCTAGTTGTCCTGTCTGTTACCAAGGTGCGTTACAAACTCGGCAGGACTCTAGCCCGGCTTCCGCCTTAAATGGTCACGTGAGCGGAGCTGGGCTGCTGCGCATGCGCGCACGTAGCCTGCCGCGGAGAGGCTGGAACTGCCGGGTCTCGGCCCCGGCCGGGTAGAACCCGACCCCAGGGCAGCACAGGACGGACTCCGAGGCGCTCGCCAGAGCTGCTCCGGTTCCAGGTCCGGTTGCCTAGGTGGCGGATCGTGGAGGTGGAGCCGCTGCGGGCGGGGGGCGGGGCGAGCCTCCCATTGGCCGCCTGGCTTCCGTGCGCTTGCGGCGTCCCTCCAGGTGCGAGCCGCTGGCCCCGCGTCCCCGGTGCGCCTTTTCCCAGGGAGGCGTTAACCTGACCTGGGCGAGCCACAGGGTCTAGAAGTTTTGGATCGACGATTGTAGTCTGTCGTTCGGTTGGTTGAAGATGTTAGCATTTCTTTTTGCCACTAAAGGAGTGTTGTTGAGGGAAAGTTAAACGACTTCGTTCATCTGAAATGTTGCGTTTTTTTTCTCCCCCAGGTGCTCGTAGCTTTATTTTCCATGACAGATCTTGACGACAATACATGCAAAAAATACATAAAGATGATTACTAATATCGTAGTATTGAGCCTGATCATTTGCATTTCCCTAGCATTCTGGATTATGTCAATGACCGCTAGCACCTATTATGGTAAGTAGAAGTTCTAGAAGCTTATGGGTGGAATTTAAAAGTAACACTTCCAAATCCAAAAAGTACGTCCTGTAAATGGTTAAGAATGATTTTGTGTACTACCACAAACTGAATGTGGTTTGCTACCTTGACGAAATAAACAATGTCTTTAGTATTTTATGTCCTTTCATAATATTAATTATTCCTGTTTCTGCCTCCCAGATGCTGGAATTCAGAGCATGATAGTTTTTAAGGATTATTTTGGTTTTTACAGTGCTGGGAATTGAATGTACAGTTTTGCATGTTCTGTGCAAGCGCGTCCAACTCTTTGTTGTTGTTCTCTTATTGGGGTTGTTTGTTTGTTTTTCATGTTTTGTTGTTTTTGAGACAAGGCTACAGCTTGTGACCCCAAACTCAACTATTTCTACCCCTGTCTCTACCTTCTTGAATTATATGGGCCAAAACATCCATGGAGATACAATTTCAAAACAGGGACTGAGGCAATGGCTGTGGGTAAAGCACTTGCTGTGCCAGCCTGAGGACCTGGCTTTAAATCCCCAGAGGCCACATGAAGCTGGGCACCGTAGTACCCAACTATAATTCCAGTGTTTGAGGAGAGGTCCCAGGAGCCCTTGGGCCAACTCAAAGTTATCCTCTGACTCCACACACATACACATTGCACACAACGCAGCACAAATAAACATGCACTGTACTTTTTTCTTTTCTTTTGAGAAATGCTATGTAAACCAGGCAGACCTGAAACTTAAAAGAGATCTGCCTGTTTCTGGCTCCCAGATGCTGGGATTCAGGGCATTCACTACAATGCCTGGCGCACGCACACACAAAATTTGTTTTGAAGCTGGCTTAGAACATGCCTATACAAACTTACTTTTTTTTTAAAGGCTAACTTATTTAAAGGCTTAATTATTAAGTTATTTATTTGTATGAGTGTTTACCTGCAAGTTATGTATGTGCACCAGAAGCTTGCCTAATATTTAAGGGGTCAGAAGAGAGCATTGGATCCCCTAGAACTAGAGTTACTGATGGATTGTCAGCCACCATGTGGGTTCTAGGAATCAAACCCGGGTCCTCTGTTAGAATAAGAGCTCTTAACCTTTGAGCCAGTTCTGCAGCCCATAAACTTTACATAGTCCTACAGAACTGGAGTAATAATGGTCAGGTCACAGCTCACAACTAAGGAACACCTGCAGGGAAAGAGAGGGTGTATGTCCTAGAAGTGGTTGTGTCTTGGTACTGAAGAAAAAGGGAGTCCTCTGTTAGCTACATGCAAATGATGCCTGAGACCCCTGGAATAAAAGTGAAAAGAGAGAGCAGGACAGTTTTGAGAAACACCACAATTTACCATTAGAGAGAAAGGACATAAAAGGAACCATTAGCAAATATAAAAATCAAGGGAGAGAAAAGTGATCTGAAGAGAATATTTTCAGCAAAAATGTATAAAATAGCCAGTTGTTTTTGGTTTTTTATGGGAATAAATGTTCAGTCAATAATAATTAAAATTATTAAATACCCCCCAAAATTGTTTATCTGATCTCAAAAAAAGTGTGTCTTAAGTGATCAACATTTCATGACATGGTCCTTTGCAGAGAGAGACATTCATAAAGATACACTGTGGAAGAGGTCTGGAGGGGAAGGAAATAAGAGCATGTTTATATAAATAAGTAGAACAATCCAGGGACCGGAGAGATGGCTCAGCGGTTGAGAGCACTGACTGCTCTTCCAGAGGACCAGGGTTCAGTTCCCAGCACCCACACAGCAGCTCATAACTGTCTGTAATTCCAGTTCCAGGGGACCCAACACCAATGCACATAAAATATTTTTAAAAAGAAAGAAAGTATAACAAGCTATGGTTTCTGAACTGGGCTCTTCCATTAGGTCCAAACACATAATGCAAATGAATGAAGCTATAGCGTCACTTTCCGGAATAAGGCTTTTCCTATGTTTTGTTGCTCAGTTGGCCCTCTTGGCTTTTTAACTTTCTATATCCTGGTTTTGGTGTTTCTCATTTGGCTTTTGAGATAGGGCTGCATTTGACATCGCCGTGACTAGCCTGGAATTCACAGTGTAGACCTTGCCTTGGACTTGTGGTCCTCCTGTCTGCCTCCTGAGTGATATAGGTCCGTTCCAGTACACTTAGCCACTTCCTCATTTTTTTTTTTTTACAGAAATGTGACTGTAGTTCCATGTTTTTCTTTGGGATAAAGAAATCCCTCAGCCATAGTGTCTATCAGAAGGTGACTGAGCATGGTGGGAACTCCATGACCTGTCTGAAGGAGATGACCCCCATTTCTTGGCCTTTAGTTAGTTCTGCAATGTGTGCCAGAGTATCTAGCTTAAACAAAATGAAGAATCAGAACTTTCACATCAAATCTTCTAACTTTTAATATTAACTCAAAAGATTTAAAGATACAAAGATACATATATCAACCACACTACAGGGCAGCCCAATGCCCAGGAGTATTTGGCTAACAAAATTAATTCCATGGTATTCTTGTGGACTTTTTATTTCATTTTGGCATTCTTTTGTCTCATTTTCTTCTGTTCATTTTGATTTTCATTTGTGTTTGTTTTTGCTTTTAGAGAGTGACAGAATATAATGAGAGATGGGAAGATCTAAGTCTGTTGTATAAAATTTTAAAAAATATTTCATCAGTATGTTTTTAGGAGACTAACCTATGCAGGCGTCACACTGTTTTCCATGTTTTAATTTCCCAGGTAACTTACAGCCCATTTCTCTGCCTCTATAACTTTTCAGGTAGCTTGCGGCCTGTTTCTCCTTGGCGTTGGCTATTCTCCATTGTCGTTCCTGTTATGATTGCCTGGAATGGCTTTAAAAAGAAAAGTCTAGATCACAGTGGGGCTTTAGGAGGTATGTTTTAATTTTGAATGTTTAAAATAATTATATCGTAAATATGTTATTTAATCTCGTGTTTTCTGAATTCAGACTATGATTGAGTTTATTTATTTTTTAAAACTTTCTGAAAGATAGGGTCTCACTATATAGACCTGGCTGGCTTGGAACTCACTATGTAGACCAGGCTGACCCTTAACTCACAGAGCTCTGCCTGCCTTTGCCTCCCTAGTATTGGGAATAAAGGCATTCGCCACCAGGGCTGGCTGTGACTGAGCTGACTGAATTTCAACATTGTGCGTGTTGGTGATTCAGCGGTGCCATTCTGTAGAATTGCAGAAACAAGATACCCATTCCACTTTGTAATCCATGTGAATAAGTGTACAGGATTGCCCTCTGTGGACCTTGACCTTGGCTCTTGTGTACTTGGTGTGGTGTCCTACTGGCAGAATTACTGGAACACTTCTTCTAGGTGTAAAGTGGAAGAGACAGAAGTAACTCTTGGAAATTGCTACCAGTGTTCACAAACAGCTTGGTTCAAACCTATTGTTCTAGGTGGCTTTTTAGAACTGAATTGGACCCAGGCTTTTATGTTATTCTTTCTTTTATTTATTTTTATTTGTTTTCTGAGACAGGGTTTCTCTGTGTAGCTTTGGAGCAGTCCTGGAATTCACTCTGTAGACCAGGCTGGCCTAGTACTCACAGAAATCCACCACCTGCCTTTGCTTCCTGAATGCTGGGATTAAAGGTGTGAACCACCTTTTTTTTAATTAATTAATTTTTAAAAATTGAGCACCTACTACTCTGTGCCACCGCTCCAGATTCAGAATAAAACTGACCAAGCACAACTCTTCAGTTCTCTTGGGTCATTTATTTTACCTTACTTTTTGTTTACTTCATTTTGTTTTTGAAATGTCATCTTAGCTGTATAGCTAAAACTGGTCTCAGGCATGGAATCTTCCTGCTTCAGTCTTCCAGGAACTTTTACTGTTTGGGACTGGGGACCATTAGATAGTAAGTAAATGAAATGTATGCAAACTTTTCAGACAGTGTTGAAGTTTATGAGGGAAAAATGAAAGTATAATAAAGCATGTATATTAGAAGATACAAGCCGGGCGTTGGTGGTGCACGCCTTTTAATCCCACCACTCGGGAGGCAGAGGCAGGCGGATCTACAGAGCGAGTTCCAGGACAGCCTCCAAAATAATACAGAGAAACCCTGTCCCGAAAAACCAGGAAAAAAAAAGGAAGGTACAGGGCAATTGTCCCCCCCAGATATGGTCCCATGGTTTTCTCTAAGAAGGCAATCTGGAGCTATGACCCAGAGAAGCCAGCAATGGGAATGGTGAGAAGCATTTCTGGGCTGACAGAGTAACAAGTGCATTAGCGCTGACACGTGGGTCCAATTGTTCAAGTAAGAAGATAGCTCAGTCAGGCAAGTGGTAATAAGGACAGGGAAAGTAGTGAGAGAGAAAGCCGGGGAAACTGGCTAAGAGCTAAGCAGGTCCATCCAGGCTGGTGTCCTCCAGTAAGGGTTTTGTGTCAAAGCAGGGGGATTTCTAGCCCCAGATTGGAAAACCTACATGGTGTACGTAGAAAAGAGACCATTCATAGCCACCAAGCATTCCCCAAGGCATGAAGTCCCCTAAATACTTCCCATAGGATGAAGACTATTCATGCTCGCCTCTCTTGAGGTCACCTACCCAGCCTTCAGAATGCTACCGGTCACCAGCCCCTCTTGCACCATCAACACTCTGTCCCCTCTGAGTGTGACGTTCTGTAAACTAGGGTAGACCCTCAGAGAGGTAAGATAGTGTGGTTGGTCAAAGAACAAGCGTTAGAAGCAGGCAAGATCCACTTGAGTAAAGACTGTGCCTGCTCCCTGTCGCCCCTGAGGGTTTCCAGTGTCTGACCTGGAGGATAGACCACAAAATTAATGGAACAGAAACACCAGGAAAACTCACTGGCCTGGTACCTTCTTAAGGCCATGAGAAGAGCCCTAGCATGTGCTATCATGGTGCTAGGTGTTTTTGTTATTGTTGTTTTATATTCCTCCTCCCCTCTCCCCCCCCCCCCAGGGCTGGCCTTGAACTCACGGTAAAGCCTCAGCTTCTCCAGTGCTGAGATTCCAGGCTTGAGCTACCATACTTGAATTATTTTAAGGCTTATTTTTATTATTGTTAACTATGTGTAGATAGGGGTGTGTGTGTGTGTCTGTCTGTCTGTCCGTCCGTCCGTCCGTCCGTCTCCATGTGGGTATGTGCACCTGACTGCAGGTGCTTGCTGAGGCCAAGGGTGTAGAGGCATTGGATCGCCAACCTGGAGTTACAGATGGTTGTGAGATGCCTGGTGTGGGAGCTGGGGACTGAGCTTTTGTCCTCTGGAGAGCAGGAGAGCAGCGCTTTACTTCTGAACCATCTCTCCAGAACCTGAACTTTGTGTTTTCATCTTCTGTTTATTTTGAGGCAGAGCCTCACATAGCTGAAGCGGGTCTTAATAAACTCTACAGAGTTGAGAATAGTTTGAGGTCTTCTGCTTCTACCTCGCAGTGCTGGGATACAAGTATATGCCATCATGCCTGTGTATGTGATGCTGGGACCCAAAACCAGGGCTTTGCCCATTTTTTTTGTTTATTTCTTTACCATCGTGGTGGAAAGCATGGCAGCATGCAGGCAGACATGGAGCTGGAGAGGTAGTGAGAGTGCTACATCTGGATCCACAGGCAGCAGGAAGAGACAGTGATATACTGGCCAGGTTTGCCCATCCCTAGTGACATACTTTCTCCAGCAAAGCCACACCTCCTAACAGGGCTATTCCCTTTGGGCCTGTGGGCGCCATTTTATTCAAACTACCACACTTTCTCATGTGCCCTTGCCTTGGTGTTTACTATCTTTGACTTACAGGAAGAAGGGTCAATGCCTTGAAATTCTTTCCTCTCCATCTATTTATTTGTTTATTTATCTATTGGTGGAGAGGGTAATGAGTGCACACGTGTGGAGTTGATAGGACAACCTTTGGGAGTCAGCTCTCCTCCATCAAGCATGCTGGTCCCCAGGGCTCAAGCCCAGATTATCAGGTGACTTCACCACTGAACCATCTCACCAGCCCTCAAGGACTTGAAAAGTCTCCCTGGGGTACCCCATCCGGTCTGGCACGCCACTGCTGGGCATCATTCTCAACTCTGGGGGAGGAGGCACTCTCCTCTCCTGGCCATGGTGGAATTTTGAAGCTCTGAACTGTTGTTCACCTGAGAATTCTGATGAATTATGACTGACCAGCACCACTCAAAATGAGTTACCAGAGATACCCAGCACAGAACAGATCCCAGAGAAAGATCCCAAAGTCTTGTCTTCCAGGGAAGAAGAAAAGGAGACAGGAGCTCTGGAGGTTTGGGGAAGGAAAGCAAAGGAAAAGAACCTGAAAACCAAAGGGAAAGATGACAAAGATGGAAAGAAACATGTCAGTGTTGTCCAGCCAGGGCATCAAATGGCCAAAGCTAGCACTGGAGACTAAGAAAAAAAATCCAGCATAATTGGGGATCTTAACAAATTGCTGGGAGGAGAATTCAACATGCTTAGAATTACCAAAGCGGTATATACGTATCCTGCCACTATCTGTCAAAGAGTCACCTCAACTAACAAAGCTTTGTCATACAGTAACAAATTGCAATCCCTCCATCCATCCCCTACCCCTAGCAGAGCTGGACTTTCTAGTAAATCTCATGATGCTGGCTCTCAGTGGAAAGTTGCTGACCAGTTTACTCGATGACATTGGGGATGCTTGATCTGTGGCATAATAAACCAAAAGAAATGCCTTCAGTGGTGTGTAGGCTAGATTCCCACCCCCTCTTCAGTACCTACATTTTAATCATATAACGACCCTGGAAAAGGACATAAAATCCTGCTGAAACTCAGTACAGTCAGCATCAAAGAGAACAAACTCACACAACTTTCTGAAACTGGTGACTTATGTAACCTCATTGCAAACCTGGATATAGCTCACAATCAAAATGAACATCTTCTGAAGGAGATTGGAAACCACACACAGATAAACAACCTTGACTCAGCACAGCAACCTTCCAGATACCATAAGAAACTGGTCCAGTTTACATCCCCTTGGCCTGAGACCCAGTAGAGTGTCAGCAATCCCCAGGTCATGAGCACATGGAGTGGCTTGAGAACAATAACATCTCCTCTCTATCAGAGGAGACAATGTGGAGAATGTGATGATGCTTCCTGTGGTTGTCATTGCTAGGGTGAGATTACTGGATAAAGTGTACTATTTAACAGTGTCTACCACAGGACAAAATCCAGTCTGACTCTTGGGGCCGGATCTGATTATCTTTGTGTTTGTGGGTATTGAGACCTTTCCTAGAATAAATATATTTTCTAAACTTTGGGGAAACGGGAACATGGTGAAAGGGTTTTTTGTTTTGTTTGGTTGTTGTTGTTGTTGTCCTTTTCTCATTTCTGAAAGTTGCAGATCCACAAAATTTTAACAGAAAAATACGGCAAATAAACTGCATGAAAAGACACATTCTATGTATGCTCTATGTCTTCCCTGTATCATTAACTGCAGTAAGTACTTTAAGGACTTCTCCCTGGTACAATGAGATGAGTGTGTAGTGTGTATGTATGTCTGAAGGCTATTTAACAGTGTCTACAGTTTTGTAGGCCTTGACCTACCTCTTCACTGTATCATTAACTGCAGTAAGTGCTTTAAGGACTTTGCCCTGATACAGTGAGATGAGTGTGTAGTGTGTATGTATGTCTGAAGGCTATTTAACAGTGTCTACAGTTTTGTAGGCCTTGACCTACCTTGTGCATCCTTCTCTTCTGGGGTATCGGTGTCTTCACACTATGCTGTGTTGCTGCAGAACTAAATGCACTTTCCCCATATGTGGGGCAGTAGTCTCCAGCAATTTAGTTCTGAGCTGTGGCCTTTGGCCCCATTCTTCCCTTGCTGGTGGGTGGTAGTACAGTTCTGGGAAATTGACACATTTTGTACACTTCATTGTGGAAGTAATGTAGGATATACATATCCTATTTGATGATACTTTCTTTCGCTTTACTGCCTTTAGGAATAGCAAAATGGTGAATGTGTGCCCTTGATGTAGTACTCTTATTTTTCCTAATGCTGGTCTAAGTCAGTTTAATTATTGAGGAGACCTACAGAGCAAGTATACCCTAGAAACCATCCTGAAACATACTTCTCATATGTGAATAACTACATATGATTGTAATTATGTATTGCTGCTTAGTTTTTTGTTTTGTTGCTATATATTATGTTGGGTAATTTGTTCTAAACAACATTTTTTAAATTAAAACTATAATATCAAGATAAAAATTTGGACTTTTAGCCGGGCGTTGGTGGCGCACGCCTTTAATCCCAGCACTCGGGAGTCAGAGGCAGGCGGATCTCTGTGAGTTCGAGACCAGCCTGAATTACCAAGCGAGTTCCAGGACAGCCTCCAAAGCCACAGAGAAACCCTGTCTCGAAAAACCAAAAAAAAAAAAAAAAATTTGGACTTTTGCTCTTCCTGGCACTCAGATTCAAGACAGGTAAAAATCTGTTCATGATTGGCATATTTGTAAGGAGCAACTAAAAAATGAAGAAAGGCAAAGACAAAAGTGAGGTACAGAACTAAACAGAGAATTTTCAATAGAGGAATCTAAAATGGCTGAGAGACACTTGAGAAAGTGCTCAACATCCTTAGCCATCAGGGAAATGGAAATCAAAACAACTCTGAGATACCATCTTACTCCTGTCAGAATGGCTAAAATCAAAAACACCAACAACAGTTTATTCTGGAGAGGATGTGAAGAAAGGGGAACACTTCTCCATTGCTGATGGGAGTGCAAACTTGTACAGCCACTTTGGAAATCAGTATGGCGGTTTCTCCAGAAATGGGAACCAGTCTACCTCAAGATCCAGCAATTCCAAAGAATGCACATTCTTACAATAAGACATCTGTTCTACTATGTTCATAGCAGCATTAGTTGTAATAGCCAGAACCTGGAAGCAGCTTAGATGCCCCTCAACCGAAGAATGGATACACAGAATGTGGTACATTTACACAATGGAATACTACTCTGAAAAAAAAATGCAATCTTTAAATTCACAGACAAATGGATGGAACTAGAAGAAACCATCCTAAGCGAGGTAACCCAGTCACAGAAAGACAAGCATGGTATGTACTCATATATGGATATTTGATATAGAGCAAAGGATTACCAGCCTACAATCCACACCTCCAGAGAAGCTAGGAAACAAGAAGGACCGTAAGAGAGACATACATGGTCCCCCAGTGAAGCAGAAAGGAACAAGAGCCCCTGAAAGAATTGGGAGCATGTGGGAACGGAGGTAGGAGGAAGAGGAGTGAGAACATGAAGGATCAGGAAGATTGAGTGGGGAAAGGAATAGAGGAGAGCAAGAAAAGATACAAATAAATAGAGAGAGCCACTATAGGTTTAAAAAGAAATCTGGCACTAGGGAATTGTACAGAGATCCACAAGGATGACCCCAACTAGGAACCTAAGCAATAGTGGAGAGGCTGCCTTAAATTCCTTCCCCTATAATGAGAATGATGACTACCTTAAATGCCATCGTAGAGCCTTCATCCAGTAGCTGATGGAAGCAGAAGCAGAGATCCACTGCTAAGCACTGAGCCAAACTCCTGGAATCCAGTTTCAGAGAGGGAGGAGTAATAAGCAAAGGGGTCAAGACCATGCTGGGAAAACCCACAGAAACAGCTGACCTGAGCAAGTGGGACCTCATGGACCCTAGTCTGACAGCTGAGGAACCAACATAGGACCAAACCAGGACCCCTGAACGTAGATGTCAGCTAAGAGCACTGGGCAGTCTGTGGGTCTCTGGCAGTGGAACCAGTGCATTAACGGACTTTGGGAGGCCATTTCCCATGGATTGATACTCTCTTAGCCTAGATACACAGGGGAGGGCCTAGACTCTGCCCCAAATGACTTGACAGATTTTGATGATCCCTCATGGAAGGCCTCACCCTCCCTGGGGAGTGAGTGGGGGATGGGATGATGGGAGGGAGAGGGAACTGGGATTGATATGTAAAATAAGATTGTTTCTACAGGGCTGGAGAGATGGCTCAGAGGTTAAGAGCACTGACTGCTCTTCCAGAGGTCCTGAGTTCAATTCCCAGCAACCACATGGTAGCTCACAACCATCTACAATTCAATCTGGTGTATATGTAATAAGTAAATAAATCTTAAAAAAAAGAATACTAAAAAAAAGACTGTTTCTAATTTAAATAATGTTTATTAAAAAAAGACATAAAACCCCAGAATGCTTAAATGTGTTGGAAAACTATTGTAGATGTTCATTGCATCTTACCAAGTAGTAACCCTCTTCTTTTCATTCTGTGGTATCTTTCTGTTACTTTTTGTTTATAAAAAGAATTGTTGCAATTCTACCTAGAACTTGTGTGGGGGTGTGGTTTTTCGTTTTAAGTAAATCTCATAGCCAAATATATTTCTATATTAAGATTATGGAACTTAAATTTAAGACGCAATGGCCAATACCTTTCCTTGAGAATATATAAAAAAAATTTTAAAACATCTTTGGATCCCTTCCATTTGCTCTTGATAGCGTTCTTTGATGTCATTATTGCTTTCCTTAATGAAATCAAAAGTGAAAGTGAAATGTCTTTACCTGTTGTCAGATACCCAGTATTTAGTATCATAAACTTTCCAAGAACAAGGCTTCAGTCCACCCTGAGGGCTTGTGTAGCAACTGTCACAGTATACTGTGGGAGGGAAAGCTCCTGAGTCCTCTCTGTTCCTTGGATAATGACTGTCACAAAATAAGTATTTAGGAAGGAAGCGTACATTGACTTAAAAAGCTTGGCTCTTGCTAGGCAGTGGCGGTGCACACCTTTAATTCTAGTATTCAGGAGGCAGAGACAGGTGGATCTCTGTGAATTTGAGGCCAGCCTGGTCTACAGAGGGAGTGCCAAGGCTGTTACACAGAGAAACCCTGTCTAAAACAAACAATCTGGTTTTTTTTTTTTTTTTTTTTTGGTTTTTACGAGGCAGGGTTTCTCTGTATTGTTTTGGAGGATGTCTGTGCACAGTTCGGGGCACTCAGGATATTGTGATATTGGTAACAGTACATGCAGTGGATTCAAGTGTTTCCTCAGAACTTCCATGTCTCATCATGGAAGCTAGATAACAAAGACGGATGTGATCCCATCAGAGCCCTGCCTATCAGGAGGTGCTATGAGGAAAAGACAAGGGTGTGGGCAGGGTGAGGCGCCAGCAAAGGCCAGAGACAGCATAACCATCCCTGCAAGTGTGGTCTTACCCACTGCCGTCACTGCGTTCAGCTCTAGCTTGTCTTCCTGAAGTAGAAGCCTCACATTTCAATTGATGAGAGCCCAGAAAAGAAGCTAAATGTTATCCTTTGCCGTAGAGATTAACTAGCACTTTATTAATCATCTAAAATGTGAAACTAACCAGGTGTACAGGAACATAAAACTTATGTTCACGCATGCCCTGTTCTTGTAGTTAGTCCATGGGAAAAGTCACATTATCATTAGAAGCTGTTTTGATGAGCACAAACTCTGAGAAACCATATAAGTCTACAGGTCAGAGAGTCCCCTCCTTTGGGCAGGGCTCAGCAAGTAGGACACCCTCCCTAGGACAACAGTGGTAATATCGGTGTCACCAGTGAGGAGATGCTGGAGGCCACACATCACCCCTGTGGCACATGGGCCGCAAGGGTATGCAACCCCAGACAGTTCATCCTGAGCATTGAGCTCTCAGGGTACGGGCATCTTCTCCAAACGTGCTTGCTTGCTGGTTTGCATGAGATCTTATGTTGCACAGACTGGCCTCAAGCTCCTAGGTCCCAGACATCCTACTGCCTCAGTCTTCTGGACGCTGGGAGTGTAGGCACGGGTTTTGTATGCATCCTTGAAATCAGTCACCATCTGAAAACTGAAGGGCTGCCCAAAATCAGAGGGAAGTATGAAAATCCAAAATCACAGTGATAAAAGTTCTTGCAAGACTTGAAAATTTTATCTTCTTTTGACTTTACATGTTAAAGGAAAATCCCAAGATATAAGGGAGGGAATACAAAAGATAGAAATTTGCAAAACAGATTTACCCTCTGTTCTAACTGCTGTATAATGTTTATGATCTAATGATAAAACACTTCACGTCTTCAGAGTATAAAAAGTTTGCTTTAAAATGATCTTATATCATTGTCTGAAAGGAGATCAACATGTGGTTGAAATGGCCTTCAGTTTGCTGCTTGGTAGTAACTGAGTTGGAATCACGAAAATGTGTTAGAAATGTATGTCAGATTTTGATTTGAAAGTAAGTGAAAAGATCCACTTTTTTCCAAAACATCATTTCTGGATTAAGTCTAATTCTGTGCATCTGTATGTTTCTTCCAGGGCTGGTGGTTGGATTTATCTTAACCATTGCAAATTTCAGCTTTTTTACCTCTTTGCTGATGTTTTTCCTTTCATCTTCTAAACTCACTAAATGGAAAGGAGAAGTGAAGAAGCGTCTAGATTCAGAGTATAAGGAAGGTAAAACTCATTGCCTCTGACATCTCTTCATCCTTGTGAGCTTTTGATCAGAACAGGTTGGGCTGGAAGAACAGGTGAATCTTATTGAGGATTACTTCGGGGTTTTAAAGTTTGTTTTGTTTTGTTTAGATTTATTTATTATGTATACACCAGATCATTACAGATGAGTGTGAGGCACCGTGTTGTTACTGGAATTGAACTCAGGACCTCTGTAAGAGCAGCCAGTGCTCTTAATCTCTGAGCCATCTTTCCAGCCTCCCTGAGGATTACTTTTGTAGCTTAATTCAATTCCTTATTTCTTTTGCACAGTAACAAGTAACTGCAGGTTTGTTTTGGGAGTTTTTTGTTTGTTTTGTTTTGTTTTGAGTTTTTTTTTCTTTTGGTTTTTTGTTTTGGCTTTTCAAGACAGGATTTCTCTGTGTGTCTCTGACTGTCTCTGATTTTGTAGATCGGGCTGGCCTCCAACTTACAGAGATCCATAAATACAGATTTTTAGTGCAAGTCTGCTATTATTTTTTCTGGTTTTGCCAATAATGGTATAGAATGTGGATAAAGACACCTTGCCACTTTTTTTGTTGTTGTTGTTTTTCGAGACAGGGTTTCTCTGTATTGTTTTGGAGGCTGTCCTGGAACTCGCTCTGTAGACCAGGCTGGCCTCGAACTCACAGAGATCCGCCTGCCTCTGCCTCCCGAGTGCTGGGATTAAAGGCGTGCGCCACCAATGCCCGGCGACACTTTTTTTTTTTAACTACTATACTTTTCTGAAACTTAAAAATATATGGACCTCTAACTGAATGTTGTTTTTTCTCTCTATGTCTGCTTACCTCTCTCCAGGAGGCCAGAGGAATTGGGTTCAGGTGTTCTGTAATGGGGCCGTGCCCACGGAGCTGGCCCTGCTGTACATGATAGAAAATGGCCCCGGGGAAATGCCCATAGACTTTGCCAAGCAGCCCACTGCTTCCTGGATGTGTTTGTCACTCTTAGCTGCACTGGCCTGCTCTGCTGGTGATACCTGGGCTTCTGAGGTTGGCCCGGTACTGAGCAAAAGCTCACCTCGGCTAATAACAACCTGGGAGAAAGTTCCAGTCGGTGAGTGTGTGTGTGTGTGTGTGTGTGTGTGTGAGAGAGAGAGAGAGAGAGAGAGAGAGAGAGAGAGAGAGAGAGAGAGAGAGAGAGAGAGAGAGAGAGAGAGAGAGGAGAGATGAGGAATGGTCAACTGTGGGGTGACAGTGGGGACTCGTTAGATACAGCGGTTTCTGGCATGGTAGTCTAGAGTAGGTGACTAGAGACAGCTTAGGACATTTAACCTTTTTAAAAGCCAGGAAAGAAAGCTGGGCATTGGTGGCACATGCCTTTAATCCCAGCACTCAGGATGCAGAGGCAGGCAGATCTCTGTGAGTTCGAGGCCAGCCTGGTCTCCAGAGAGTTCCAGGACAGCCTCCAAAACAATACAGAGAAACCCTGTCTCGAAAAACCAAAAAGAAAAAAAAAAGATAGAAAAATGGCATTTGCAATGCTTTTACCATAAAGAATGAGGAATATTTGAGGAGATAGCTGCAGGCCCCATGAGCTAAATATTAAACAGTGTTTGCTTGTATTTATGTGTGTGTGTAACTTTCACTGATCAGGTTTTTTGATTTTTGTCTCTTGGGGGCAGAGGTGGATTCTGGGGATTGAACCTGGGATCTCATGCATGCCTGGCAAGCACTCTATATCACAAGGTATAGCTCCAGCCCCCATGTATTAGGTGGTTGGTTTTTTGCTTTTTGATTGTTTGTTTGTTTAAGAGAGAGCACTCTCTTCTTTAAGTTCATTTTAATTAGCAAGGACCAGTCTGGGGTTTTGTGTTGTTTTGCCTTCCTTGGTGCCCCTTATCTGTTGGGTACTAACCTGACTATCTGGTATCCTTTTCTCCCTCAGGGACCAACGGAGGAGTCACAGTGGTGGGACTCACCTCCAGTCTCCTCGGTGGTACCTTTGTGGGCCTGGCCTACTTCCTCACACAGTTGGTGTTCGTGAGTGACTTAGACATCTCCGCTCCGCAGTGGCCCATTATTGCCTTTGGAGGTCTGGCTGGCTTACTAGGGTCAATTGTGGACTCATACTTAGGGGCAACCATGCAGTTTTCTGGTAAGACAGCATCTTATTGTTAAGTTTTATTGTTTTGTTTGTTTGTTTGTTATTTGTTATTTGTTTTTTCGAGACAGGGTTTTTCTGTGTAACAGCCCTAGCTGTCCTGGAACTAGGTCTTTAAAGCAGGTGTCCTTGAGCTCACAGAGATCTGCTAGTGTCTGCTTCCCATGTGCTGGGATTAAAGGTGTATACCACACCACAGCCCAGCCTCATTTTTGTTTTCTTTTGATGTTTGTTTGTTTTAGAGATGGAAAAGAATTATGAAAAACTTTAACACTTTAAAAACTTGGAAAAAATGTATCATTGAAACCAGCCCAAAGGCTGGAAGTGACAGGGGAAACCTCCATAATTTTGGTTTCCATATTCTTTTATTTTATTTGTTTATTATGTATACTGTTATCTGCATGCATGCTTCCATGCCAGAAGAGGCCACTAGATATCATTACAGATGGTTGTGAGCCACCATGTGGTTGCTGCTAGTTGAACACAGGACCTCTGGAAGAGCAGTCAGTGCTCTTAACCTCTGAGCCATCCCTCCAGCCCCCAGGTTTCCTTATTCTTTTGTGTTAAACTAATTCATAGAGGTTTCTAAATTCTGAGGAACATTGATTACAGTGCAGGAAACAGGCTTTGGTTTTGAGCTGTCATCTAGTCTAGGAAAACAGGACTCTTGGGTGAGATCATTTTAATGTACCTCCTTTCATTTGTTTTTGCCAAGTGCATTTCATAAGTATACTGGTCTGACTACAGAGTGGCCTGCTTCCCCATGGTAATTATCCCCACCATGACTTTCTGTCCTTGCCCTTGAGGTTCTTGTCTCTTGTTATAATTGCCCAGGCTGGCCTTGAACTCCTGCACTCAAGCTTTCTTCCTGTCTTAGCCTTCCTAGTTATCTGGGACTTCCCTTAGTGTCCTTCACCATTAAGTGTTTACTCCTGATATGTGGGAACTGGAGTGTTAGCTCGGCAGTTAGGAATGTTTGCTGCTCCATCAATCATGAGGACCGAAGTTCGGATCCCAGCACCCGCATCCAGCTCTCTGTAGCTCTGATTCCAGCTCCAAAGGACCTGACTTCCTCTTGTGGCCTCCACCTGCGCTCACACATGTGCTTCTACAGACAGACAGAGCCATGCACAAGCACACACAATCTTAAAAAAGAGAATGTATATGTGTAAGTTTTAGTGTGCCTGTGTTTTATTCTGTTTGTGCTGTGTTTTAAAATCCTGAGAACAGGTGGTTTACCAAGAACAGAAACTGTAGTCAAGCCCTCAATAGATGCAGGATCCAGTGACAGCTTGTCGTTTTTGTCCAAGCTAGCACCTTGTTGCTATGTCCTTCTGTGAGCAGAGGGCCCAGCAGCTCCCTGAAGCCTCTTTATAAGGTCGTCACCCTATTCATGAGAGGTCAGCAGGCTTGATCACTTCCGCCAGCCGCAGCTCTCAATACTGACACATTGAGTCCTCCATGACAGCAGAAGCAGAAACATGAGTCTCAGCAGCCTTCTTTGCGGGCAGTACCGTACTGGGTCCTGACATGATCCCAGCTGTCGGACCTCCCCGGATTGCCTTAGAGAGACCACTGGGAAGCCAGACCTTCCATTGCTAAAGAACTCCAGAGATATGAGAGGTGCTGTAAAGCCCCCCTGTGCAGGAAGGTCTTTTATAACTCAGGACTTTAAAGGTAACACCACATCAGAACATGGTGACTTGCACGTCGTTTCCTCCATTTCCATTTCAGGCCTGGATGAAAGCACTGGCCTGGTGGTCAGCAGCCCAGCCCGGGAGACCAAGCACATAGCAGGGAAGCCCATCTTGGATAACAATGCCGTGAACCTGTTCTCCTCAGTTTTGGTCGCCCTCTTGCTCCCAACAGCTGCTTCGGGGTTTTGGCCCTGAGAGTGAACTTTCTTTCTTTCCCAATTGGTTGATACTGGTGAGTCCAGCCAAATTCTCAATGTGAAGTTTTTTTTCCCCTCTTCCTAGTGAATAATAATTTTGCCAACCTTGGGAATATGGTGGGATTCTACATTACCCTTTCAGCTCCTTTCACAGCTGACGTCTGTGTAGTGAAAGGTGGAAGCGCAGACAAGTTATGCACATTTTTCTTCCGCCACATGAAGCTTTATTTAACGATGGAGCTGTTATTTTCCTCTGTGCTTGTATGTTGAGCTGAAAGTCTAGACGGTCTCTGTAAAATGTTACTTTGTTCAGTTCCTAAAAACCAAGTGTGTTGATAGCCTAAAATGTTCCCCACTAGTATAGAGACATACCACTATGACAGTTGTCCCGAAGTTCTATCTGCTTTAATGACTTGACCCATGCACTTGGTTTTGTTTTGTTTTTTTGTTTTTTGTTTTGTTTTTTGGTTTTTCGAGACAGGGTTTCTCTGTGGCTTTGGAGGCTGTCCTGGAACCCACTTGGTAGTCCAGGCTGGTCTCAAACTCACAGAGATCCGCCTGCCTCTGCCTCCCGAGTGCTGGGATTAAAGGCGTGCGCTACCAATGCCCGGCAGACCCATGCACTTGGGAGCCCCAGTGAATAACTAACTTGAACTTTTCCCACTATACAGGCATTGCCACTCTGCATTTTGTTTCCTTTCTCCTAGCTAATGATGCAATTGTTTGAGCAAATTTCTTTTTCATCACATTAGAAAATGTGAAGAAAATTGTTATTTATGAAAGAAACCATTTAAATTTGCAACTTCTGGATGCAGCTGTAGCTTGGGAATAACACTTGCCTCAGGCACACAGTACCCTGGTTTGGATGCCCAGCACTGAGAGAAAGTTACCACATATGCATTCATGTCTTTAAGATACACATAAGAATCTGGATTCCATACTGCCATGTGGGACAGTTAATGAGTCACTGGAAAATTAGTGTCATTGTTTCTTTAATTTACTTTGATTTGAACTTTGAACTGTTTTGTAAGTGCCTGGAAATGCTGTGGTTTCCTCTCATGAGCCTTCTGAGTCATGCATTCCTTCTCTTTGTAGCCTCAGTGAATTCTGCTTGTGACTGTGTTCTTCGCTGTGTCTTCCCTTGTACAGAAGAGGTTTTGAAGGAGCAGGTTATTTTATTAAATATCTTAAAATGTTCCTCGTCGTGTTTCCCTTCCCGTTCTTCCCCTCCCCATTTCCATCCTTGATGAAATCAAGGAAGAACTCCCTGATAAAGTGCTACCAGAGTGAATAAATACTGCTTACTATTTCTAATAGTGTCTCCTGAGGTAGCTTATCTATTTAAAACCTACTGATCTGGAAAGAAAATGAAGCAATTGAACCCTTAGTCCTGAAATCACCAGTGCAGCCATTCACAAGCACTGTCTTTTAACTCTGGGTATACGTTGGAAGTGCCTGGAAGTGTTGTAGAGAGTGCTGATGTGTGTGGTGCAGTCCAAACTGGGCTTTAAAGTTCTGCACATGAGTGTGCTATCCGGATTTCCAGACACTGTTGCCAAGGCCCCTTTTAGATCAGGCAGGTCAGACAGTTCTGTGCTCTTCTAGTGTGAGGCCTACTCCGCGGGCGAGTCTCTTCTGACAACTCTGCTGTACACATAGGGTACTGGCAACCCCACCTCAGTTACATCCCAGTCTTGTGAAGTGCAAAGTCACGTGAAATGAGGTGTCTGGACTTGGTCACGTGCCTGCAGTCTGAGCAGCTGCTGCCTTCTCACCATGCAGACTCTAGGGCCTGCTCATCTCTCCTCCTTATGTTGTAGCTGCTGTTCCGGTGTCATCACAATGAGAATGAACTGTCCTAGCAAGCATATCCCAGACGAATTACACCGTGCCAAAGAAACAAATGCACACTGTGCATCTTAGTCATTTAATCTGCTTACACAGTGTCTGTTGCCTTAATTCCAAGAGGTCCTGAACATCTCAGTAATACAGAATAATTCAGTAAGCATTTGTTGAGTTAATTTGGCTGACTTGGGAGTATAGTCCTGCAGCAGGGGTAGGCATGGACAAGAAATACCAGTTTGGCTACCTGACTTTCTGAGGGCTGTAATGATTCCAACATTTCTCAGTTGTGTCAAACAATACGAATGAGTTTGAAACCAATGAGTCAGGCATTCAGTGTAGGAGGAATGACAGACCGACAAGGCAGGGTTTCTGGGCTTACTCTTCTGACAACACAGAATGTCCATTCTCCTGTTTTTCTAAAGGGTTGCTCTCTAAAATTTTATAAATGTGGACACTCTTTTTAGAGAAGATTTGCTTTGTTTTTGCTACATGTCTGTGTGTTTCTGTGCACCTGAGTGCAGAGGACAAAAGAAGGTGTCTGAGTCCCTGAGCTAGAGTTACAGGCATGATGGGATACCCTCTGTGACTCTGGAACAACGCTCTTAACCACTGAGCCACCTCTCAGCCCCCTAAAATATTCTTTGAAATGTTTTAGAACTAAGAGACCAGGGGTGTGGTGGTGCACACCTTTCATTTCAGCACTCTGGAGGCAGAGGCAGGAGGATCTCTGTGAGTTCTCCATAGTGAGTGCCAGAACAGCCAGGGCTGCATGGTGAGACCCTGATTAAAAAAAAAAAAAAAACTCTGAAAGATTCTTTTTAAAATGTCATATTGTTGCCGGGCGTTGGTGGCGCACGCCTTTAATCCCAGCACTTGGGAGGCAGAGGCAGGCGGATCTCTGTGAGTTCGAGGCCAGCCTGGTCTACAAGAGCTAGTTCCAGGACAGCCTCCAAAGCCACAGAGAAACCCTGTCTCAAAAAACCAAAAAAAAAAAAAAATGTCATATTGTTTTAGGGTTGTGTCTTATTGTCTTAGGATTAAATTTTACATCCAAACATCTTGTTATATGTCAGCATTCTCATATTCTCATGCAGTTCTGGAACACAGAATTTTAAGGAAGCTCACATGCCCATTGCCCAGGTATAGCTAAGACAGACATTTGCCGCTCACAAAGTGAGCATACTAAGTTCTCTGGTGTTTGTGCCCCCTTTCCTTTCTGTCCTGCTCTCTAGCCTGGAACTCTCCCTTCCTCTTTTGTTATCTTACAGAAATCATCTCAATGGCACTTCTGTAAGAGGCACCCTCAGGTTCTCCCGTGCAGAATTACTATCTCCCACAGTCTGTGCTTTAACTGTAGAGGCTATGACCGCTGAACATTCATCTCCCTGAGTCCCGAGGTGGATGCGACCAGAACAGATCATTCAAGCTTCTGCTACCACATCTTTCCCACCGTGGTGGGCTGTGTCCTCCAACAAGCACATGGTAGAAGGAGAGAACAGAGTCCCTCAGGTTGTCTTCACACACACACACACACACACACACACACACACACACACACACACACACGCACACACGCACGCACACATGCACGCGCACACACACAGAGGGAGGGCGGGAGAATGTAAAAAACATACAGAAATAACTAAATGACAGTATTTCCCTACCAATTTTTGCCTTAAACATAAATTATTAAAATCTATAATCAAAGGCATATGTTGATTTAATACTTTCTTTTTTAAGTTCTAATCATATTTTTCCATGAGATGCTTGATTTATCTAAGTATGCCCATAAACTGAAATTGAAAAGATGGAAAAAGACAGCTGGGTGGTGGTGGCCTTTAATACCAGCACTAGAAATCATATGCAGACCTCTTGAGAGTTCTAGTTCATCCTGGTCTACGTAGTGAGACCCTATCTCAAAAACACAAGTCTGGAAACACATAGATATATAGAAATTAAGCAATACATTTTAAAATAACAAAGCAAAGAGTTAACAAAATACTGGGAAACACTGCAAACAAAAATGGAAAGAATGGTAATAGCCAGAACCTGGAAGCAACCTAGATGCCCCACACCTGAAGAGTGGATAGAGAAAATGTGGTGCATTTACACAATGGAGTACTACTCAGTGGGAGAAACAAAACAATGGGTTCCTGAAATTTGCAGACAAATGGATGGCACTAGAAGAAACCATCCTGAGTGAAGTAACCCAGTCACAAAAAGACAAACATGGTATGTACTCACTCATATATGGATTTTAGACATGAAGCAGGGGAATGCCAGCCTACAGCCCCACCGCCAGAAAGTCTGGGAAACAGGGAGGATCCTAAGAGAGATATGCATGGTACCCCAGAGAAGGGGAATGGGACAAGATGTTCTGAGTGGATTGGGAGCATAGGGGGAGGGGAGAAGAGCTGGCAAAAAGAGAGGAGGAAAAGAGAAGGGGAGAGGGGGACATGGGGGAGCAGGAAGGTTGATGGGGGGGGAGACTAGAGGAGAGCAGGATGAGAGATACCATAAGAGGAAGCCAATATAGGTTTGAGGAGAGATCTGGCACTAGTGAAATTTCCAGAGATCTACAAGGATGACACCAACTGGCAATCTAATCAATAGTAGAGAGGCTACCTTAAATTCCCTTCCTCAATAATAAGATTGAAGACTGCCTTATGTGCCATCCTAGAGTCTTCATCCAGTGGCTGATGCAAGCAGAGGCAGACACCCACACTAAACACTGAACTGAACTGGAACCCAATTGCAGAGAGGGAGGAGTGATGAGCAAAAGGGTCAAGACTGGGCTGGTGAAACCCACAGAAACAACTGACCTGAACAAGATGGAGCTCATGGATCCCAAACTGATGGCTGAGAGGCCAGTATTCGACTTATTCAGAAGCCCTAAATTTGGGTGTCAGTGAGGAGGCCTTGGCAATCTATGGGGTGTTGGGTATTTATCAGTATTTATCCCTGGCATAGGAATGAACTTTGGGAGTTCATTCCACATGGAGGGATGCTCTCTCAGCCTGAATACATGGGGGAGGGCCTAGGCCCTGCCCGGGATTATATGACAGACTTCGGAGGGCCTCACCCACCATGGGGAGTAGAGTGGGGATTGGGTGGGGGATTGGAGAGGAGGTAAGGGAGGAGGGGAGGGAGAGGGAACTGGATTGACATGTTTCTAATTTAAATTAAAAAAAAAAGAAGAAAGTGTAACAAAGTTTGTGAAATGCAACAAATGTAGCACTAAGGAAATATCCGACTGTCAAATGGATAATTTAAAACCAGAGGATACAAAATCAAGCTGACAACCTTTCTAGGAACTAAGAAAAAAAAAAAACAAACCTAAAGCAAAACAACAAAAGGACTAGTCTTTGAAGATATCAACAAAATTGACAAACTCCTGAGCTAAAAACAAAAAAAGGAAAAAAATACAAATAACTAAAGTTAAAGAAATAGTCTAGACAGAGGATTGGAGCATCAGATGGTTCAATGGCTAAGAGTAAATACTGCTCTTCCAGAGGATTCAAGTTCAGTTTCCAGCACCCACACTGGGTGACCTACAACCATGTGTAACTCCAGCTTCAGGGGATCTGACATCTCTGGTCTCCATGGGTACCATCCTCATGTATAAAAACACACAAATTAAAACTGAAATACCTAAATTCTTTTTTTTTAATTTTGGTTTTCCAAGACAGGGTTTCTCTGAAGGTTTGGAGACTTTCCTGGAACTCCCTTTGAAGCCAAACTGGCTTTGAACTCGCAAAGATCCACATGCCTCTGCCTCCCAAATGCTGGGATTAAAGATATGCGCCACCACTGCCCTGCCAAAAGATCTAATTTTTTTTTTGAGACAGGGTTTCTCTGTATTGTTTTGGAGGCTGTCCTGGAATTCGCTCTGTAGACCAGGCTGGCCTCGAACTCACAGAGATCTGCCTGCCTCTGCCTCCCAAGTGCTAGGATTAAAGGCGTGCGCCACCAACATCTGGCCAAAATATCTAAATTTTATAACACTAAGTTATGTTAATAAAAAGGTCAAAAGATTCCTAGGAACAGACAACAAACCAAGATGGAATTATGAAGAAGCAGAAAACCTAAGTCAATAGTAAGAAGACAAATCACTAGTCACAAACCCTCTCCCAAGCCCAGATCAGATGTCTTCACTAAAGATTTCTGTCAGATGCTAAAACAAAAGTTTAACACAGGTTCTATCTGAAAACCAAGAGGCAGCAACTCTTCGAAGCTCAGTCCTCAGTCTCTCTCTGTCTCTCTCTGTCTCTGTCTCTCTCTCTCTCCCTCCCGCCCTCTCTCTCTCTCTCTCTCTCTCTCTCTCTCTCTCTCTCTCTCTCTCTCTCTCTCCCTCCGCCCTCTCTCTCTCTCTCTCTCTCCCTCCCTCCCTCTCTCTCTCTCTCTCTCTCCCTCCCGCCCTCTCTCTCTCTCTCTCTCTCCCTCCCGCCCTCTCTCTCTCTCTCTCTCTCTCTCTCTCTCTCTCTCTCTCTCTCTCTCTCTCTCTCTCCCTCCCTCCCTCTCTCTCTCTCTCTCTCCCTCTCTCTCTCTCTCTCTCTCTCTCTCTCTCTCTCTCTCTCTCTCTCTCTCTCTCTCTCTCTCTCTCTTGTGAGACAGTCCTGGCTGTGCTGGAGCTCATTTTGTACACCAGGCTGGCCTCGAACTCACTGAGATCTGCCTGCCTCTGCCTCCCAAGTGTTGAAAGGCATGCACCAGCACGGCCCAGCAGAAGCTCAGTCTTTTAACGTCATCAAACTAAGAGACACTGGTGGAAAAAAAAAAGATGCATCCATATTCCTGATGAATATTGCTGTAAAATACCTCAAACATATTAGCAAAGTTAATATATGAAACCCCATAAGTGTAGCATATCACATTAATAAAGAAGGGGAAACACCCACAAAATTATCACAGTTGGTTCAGATAAAGCATTTGCTATCTAGCACTCTGATCATACAACACTCAACAAATCAGAAAGAAATTAGCTCATGCTAATGACTCAGTGCTCAGTGGGTAAAGGAGCTTGCCACAAAGCCTGATGACCTGAGCTTCGTCCTGGGGACGCCTATGATGGAAGGAGAGGAACAAGTCCTTAAGGTTGTCCTCTGACCTATGCATGTGTGTGTGCATACACACAAATGTAAATATATATTTCTTTATTAATAAATGCATATTTAAGGAAAGGGAAACTTCTTATGCCCATGGATAAGAAAATTTAATATGGTTAAAAGATACCTTGTTTACATTTTTGTGAGGGGCAGTGAGATGGCTCAGCAGATGGTAACCCTGGGTTTAAGTCCTGCATCCAATGTAAATGTGGAAGGAGAAAACCAACTCCACGGGTTGTTCTCTGATCTCACATGTCTCTCTCTCTCTCTCTCTCTCTCTCTCTCTCTCTCTCTCTCTCTCTCTCTCTCACACACACACACACACACACACACACTCACACATCATGCACACACACAATAATAATGGCATTTAAAAACGTTAAATCTCGCTGGGCGGTGGTGGCACACGCCTTTAATTCCAGCACTCAGGAGGCAGAGGCAGGTGGATCTCTGTGAGTTCAAGGCCAGCCTGGTCTACAAGAGCTAGATCCAGGACAGGCTCCAAAGCCACAGAGAAACCCTGTCTCGGGAGAAAAACAAAACAAAACAAAACAAAACTTCAAATCTCAATGACAGTTTTTACCAAAACAGTAACATTACATGGAATCTCTATGGACTTCAATTAGTTAAATGGCCATACTCAATGTTGCTTTATTTTGAAACATACTACAAAGCTAGGAATCACCAGCCAGGCTTGCACTGACATTAAGAGACAAGTCAATCCGAGAACTGGAGCAGAGCCCAGAAATAAACTCTCTTACATGTAGCCAAATGAAGCCTCAAGAAGGCTGCCAAGAACAGATGATGTGCAAGATAGGCTCTTCAACAAATGGTGTTAGGAAAAGTGGGTATCAGCTTAGACAGCAATGAAATCACGCTGAGAATTGCAATTTACAAAGATTAGGAGAAATTCGTTTTAAAGTCTTAGTTTTAATGGAAATTATAACATAAAATGATAAATGTCCATGATGAAAATATCAGGGGATATCTGGGTGGTGGTGGTGGTAGTGCACGCTTTTAACCCCAGCACTCAGGAGGCAGAGGCGGGTGGATCTCTGTGAGTTTGAGGCCAGCCTCGTCTACTGAGTGAGTTCCAGGACAGGCTCCAAAACTACACAGATGAACCCTGTCAAGAAAATAAAAAACAAAAGGAGAAAATATCCGGGGAAAGTGCCACAGTATGTGATCTGCAATGGTTCCTTGAATAGCCAAAACCAAAGGTAACTTCTGCAAACAGAAAGTTTTCTTTCTGTTACTATGTCAACACGGTGACCAAAAAGCAACATGGGGGAGGAAAAGGTTTACTTAGTTTCCATTTCCACATCACAGTCCATCTGACGGAAGCCAAGCAGGGACTGAAGCAGAGGCTGTAGAGGAATGCTGCTGTGTAACAAAACACTGTCTTATTTGTCTCAAAACAGCTAGAGTAGGATCTGGGAATGTAATTCGGTTGGTAGAGGGCTTGCCTGGTGTGTGTGATGCGCTGGAGTTGACCCCAGCACCACATAAGCCAGGCATGATGGTTTGTGCCTGTGACCCAAGGACTCAGGAGGTTGAAGCAAAGGAATCACAAGTTCAGAGTCATTGTTGGCTGCTTAGCAAGTTT